CGACTCGGCCCCTCATGCCAGAGGAGTCTCCCATGCACGAATGCGCAAGTCAAATGAGAATTAGACAAATAAGAGACAACGATAGTTTATGGAGACTGAAAGCAGATGAACTCAACTTAGGGTCCACATGGAGGTCCTCCGCTACAGGAGAGCTTCGCAATGCATTGGCACGCCAAGGAAAACGAGGTGCTTTACCTTCTTCCTCTCTTCCGTCGTATCTCCGTCCATTCTCGTGGTAGCTCCTCTCTCAGGCCCAAAGGTCAAAGTCCCATTTGGACAGTCCGTTTGAACATCGTCAACAGGAAAAGCTTATGTTGGGCTAAGACAGCGTAGACCTGCCTTCGGTCCCCGGCCTGATCGCATGCAGTTCGACTGAAATAATTCAGTGTCGGCATCCGGTCTGCGGACTGGTGGACAGACGAGTCGGACCTGCCCCTTTCCGGATTCGGTACTCCGGGTGGGTCGTCTGATTGGAACAGGTCGTAAAGGCTGTCGCACTATGTTTATTATAGGGAAATGTTTATTGCGTCGAACCGTACAATTTTTTTTTTACTGCTCTCCCCTCCCCCCTCCCAAAATAATTGATAAGATTAGGACGAATGAATAACTCAAAGAGAAAGACTGTTTCTGCCAGGATGAAAAAAATAATGGCGGATTCAGGCCATACAGCGTGACTTCACATAACAAATTCATATATCTCGCTCAGAGAATTTTTGCTTTTTGAAAACCTGGGCACATATCTCCCTCATTCATAATTCACAAAAAACGGTCTGGAAGTTCAAAGCTTAAATCAGTTTTCCACTTTATGAAGATCCCATTGCCTTCTCACTCTCCACTATTTTTTCCCTTTTTTTCTCAAGGTCACCTGCCGACCCTCTGGGGATCGGTGACTTTCCGCCCACCTACCGTCCACCACTACCATGCGCCTCGTCAGGAGGTTGCGTCTGAGGGCTCGGCAGTCTTGCTGGGGCTCGCTAAGCGAGGCATCGCTCCTAAAAATCTGGGGGGAAACGGGAAATTCCGACGGGCGGCCAAATTTTCATCTAAGGAACCGTTCATGGTCTGTAGGCGTCCGTAGTAAGAATCGGAGTCCTTCCAAATACAGGCGTATGTATAGGATTGAACAGAACCGACTTTAGCCATGTTTGGACACAGTTCAATCCGTATCACGTTTTGGCCATTCCTAATAAATATGGAACGATATGTGGTTCATTTACAAACCCCCCCATACGTGGTGCTAGGTTTGAAATGTAAATGTTACTCATATAAACTGTACAGAAGAAATATTGTATTTGGAACATATTTGGAAACTGTTCAGTCCATGTAATGTCCATGGATGCCCACGAACGCACGTTGAGGCCTTCCATATGCATTTCCATCTAGCAGTTCGTTCGATGAACATGAAGTTCTCCCAACATGCGCGAGGTCGCACTCATCCCGCCGTCATGCGTTCTCCCGATTCTCCGAATGCCGACGAAGAAGAAACTTTCTCCCTCGACACATCCTGACCTTGTGGAGACCATGGTTTAAATGTCCAGCGCACATTGGAAAGCTATTAGAAACAACTGACTGGTCACATGAATCAAGATGGCCGAAACGAAGAAAGTGAAACCAGGATTTTTTTCGGCTTCGTAAGCCTTAGTCGACCTAAACCTTTCCCTCTCCAGACAATTTCATGACTGAATCCTTCGAAGTATTGTCGAGTTCGCTCGACTGTTTCTATGATTCGACACCAACCCGTTTCCAAAAGAAAACGTTGCATCTCGGATCGCAAGGATGACATGCAATATATATCCCATTGATGAAGAGCATCTGGCCGACCCCTTTTATTGCATCCCTACACTATCAAGCTGTCAGAGAATGAAACCATTCTGACACCCTCCAGGAAGGCTTGGCTCTCGATGCGATTGAACGAGAGGAACCGCACAAGCTGAAAGGTTCTGAAAGGGCAAGTCGATATGTATTCAATAATGATGTTTCCTTTTAGCACCATGGGAACTCGCGATGTATTCTTATGTGCTGAGCCAAAATAGAAAGGCCCATATTGGCCTGGAAGATATATGAAGAATGAAGATCTACGTGGATCTGCAAGGCTCTACGTGGTTCTCTCTTGAAAAAAACATCCAGCTGCCATTACTAATTTCATCATAGGCTATCCCTGAGTCAAAGGTCGACTCCCCACAACGAATTACAAACAATTTTTGCAGCAGCATGTATTCGAAACGATCGACGGAACACCAAGCAGTTAGAACGTAATTGACGAGCTGCACTTTCTAGAGGAAATATCAGGATTTATCATAGGCAATCGTCTTGGCGTGTTCTTCATCCATCAATGGAGGTAATACTTCATGTAAAATGTTCTCTTCTGGATGTTACAGAAATAACGTGGATGAAGCCGACTCGGAAATCTCCGATTCGTGAGCGAAGAGAATTCAAACATAATAAAATGTTAAATGGTCTCGCTATGCATGCTCAACCCGCTTGAAAAAAAATTCCTGCCGCCACTACTAGTTTAAGCATAAACTCTCTCCCTGAGTCAAAGGTCGACTGCCCACAATGAATTACAAATAATTTCTGCAGCAGCATGTATTCGAAACGATTGACCGGACACCAAGGAGTTAGGACGAAAGTGACAAAGAAAATTTGATGTCCTTTCTCAGGCGACGCCAGGAGAAACTACGACAGAAATATCTCGACGAGTTGGATCGATTCTTGCATGGAGAGTGATGAGGAATAGACGTGTCGACCAAAAGCCATTTTTGATCACATCGATGAATGACAGATGTTTGGCTATCACTGATTCGGAGGCAGATAGCATAAATTATTGACTACTTGGTCAGTCCATGTCAAATTCGGTATCTCGGATCTATAGTATAACCAGCTGCATCCAAACAACCTTCCCAGAAAAAGAATCCCAAGTTTTCCTTCATGATTTTGGGAAAGGGAAGGAGTGCATCCCAGACCATATCCGATTGAAGATAGGTCACTTTCCTGCCGAGAGTTCGATGTTCGGGTCGAATCGAGTTTTCGAACCAATACTCCAGGGAATCTTTGAAGTCGTCGACGGTGGCGACCGTGTATCCAGAAGCCAGAAGTTCTTCAACGGTACTAGGCGGATCCGTCATCGGCGGCTGAACGTAAAATGACGTCAGCTTCGAGACATACGAGGTCGCAAGAACGAGGACGACGAACCACCAACACTGCGTGCAGATCTTCCCCGCGTCTGTGTGCAACCTTGGTGCGTGTCCTTGCAGGACGAGGGCTGTACCTGTCATTTGAAGCACGCCTAGCACGGTCAGATGGGGCCTTTCGAAGAGGAAAATTAATATAGCCATCATTGCGAGCACATGCAGCACTATCATCAATAAGTCGAATCGAATTATAGAGAAAATGTTCCTCCAATAAGGAAGGGGTTGAGGTGCCATGGTGATTAAACGCATACCGTCGAATCTGTAAGGGCACGCTCGTTGTTACTATACATTGTGTGGCTCGAGAAGCCACCCAATACAACGTCTACCTCATCGTCTCGAAGCCGTCGATGGATCTCTGTCAAGTCGTCAGGGTTATCGATTTCGATGGAGAAATTCATCCGTTTCGCCAATTCCAAGAGCATGTTCCCTTCCATTCCTCCGCAAATCTTTTCGTCGCAGATCATCACCCAAGGCGGAGCATTCATGGCGATGACCTTCAATGTCTTTCCTTGCAGGTTCCACTTTGGTCCTTCCACCCAACTGCACCTGTCTTCGATGGCATCCTTCCTCGTCTTCACGTTATGGGCAACGATTTCCTCGAGGCTCTTGGGAAGAGCCGAGGAAAAGGCAAGACTGCAGAGCAGCAACAAGCACTGATGGTCTTGCATATCGGCCCGCCGGACCAACGGAACGGATGCACCGATCACGTCGAGGCGGATTTTTAGACTGAGGCCACATAGAAGAGGGCGAGGGAGATGGGATGGGGAATGGAAATTCGATGAGGATCTTCAACCTTCAGTTTGCTTCTTTTATAATGGAGGAGGGAGGAAATGAAAAGCATTTCGGAAAGCGAGGGGAAATCGTGCCGAGAGATTCATTTCTCATGAGGTTCAGCCACGTCATCTGGAAATATTCATTTCACCCTCGTTCCAACAGCAAGTCCTTTCGAATCTCTCTCGTCTTCATCTCGTAATTTCCTCTGGGTGTCACACATGCCCGTGCTTTAAAAAATGTCCCGTCTTAAATGAGATGCAGAGGTCCTCAAGTGCACACGGTCGAGTTACTCGAAGAAAAATGCTGCATCCGATGTTCCGAACCGAGGCACCATTAAGCCCATGGACGACTTGATCGGCTCCAAGCCGTTGACGATTCCGCCCGTCGGTTTGGTTCCATGTGGATCAAAGAGATTCATCCGTCTCGCAAACTCACTCGGTCCCTCAAATGCCTCCGAGAATATTGACGTCTTGGATCACCAGTCGAATGTGTCGCCTTTTCCACAATGCGCTTCGGCGTCTTTTTCATTTATTTACAGAAGTGGATCAGGAAGTCTGATGCTGGGGAGTTTCGTTCGTTGTCTCTGCCCCAGAAGTGGAAAAGCGACGTCTGGCGAATCTCTAATGTATTTCCATCGGTATTGCAAATAAGGGGCTGTGTCTCTTGGGTAGCTCTTGGTGAAAACGAGGCGATTTCACTCGAATTTGAAGGAAAACATTATTATTGCAAATACTCCATGCTTTCTAACCGATCGATTTTGGCATTATTCTTGATTTCATTCTACCCTCTTCCATTTCTACATTTTATTCATTGCCATAGGCATCGACTTGATTCTTGTCAAATTCTTAGTCGAAAAGCACATGGAACGTAGACCGCCTACCATTTCAGGTTTTCCTCGAAGGGAGAGGGATTCGGAATGTTGATAATTAAAATTTCGCATTACTCATCTTTTTATTTCCGAAATATTGAGAGTTTGGAATTTCTTCCGAGTATTTTTTCATGGATGATAACATTGTAATTTTTAAAAACAACGCATTCCGGTGACACACTGATTTCGTAATTGCGTCGATGATAAGGTGACGATACCATTTTTACCTCGCTGTTCTGACGTTCCTTCACTCGAAAAATTTTGATTCCTGCTCGTTCTGGTTGGCTGTACGATGTCAAGTTTGCGAAGCTCCTTCGAGGTCTCATTCTCGTCTGTGGTGGTTGGGTGACTGGCTGGGATCCCAAATGCATCATCGATCAAAGAGACCAAGAACAAAAACATAAAATTCCTTCATTGCCACTGTAATGAAGAACTGGGAAATCAATCATAATCACGTGTGCCGTATTCATGGGACGCTCGAGCGATGCATCATCTCTTCTTGAAACGAAGGACACGAATGTCATCAGAGGTGAACTCAGGATGGAGTTCATCCTTTGGAATCTCAGTTTCATGGAAGCTCTTCTTCATTTTGTCGAAGAAATCCCTTTCCAGTTGTGCATGCTTCTCGAACTCCATCCTCGTCTCGTAACTCATGAGAATCAGAGTCTCCGAATCACTGAATTCCAGCAAGGTCTCAATCAGGGGATCCACACTCTACCAAGAAACAGAGGAAATTAGCATCATAGCTTTCCCAAGATAGAGCCCTGGGACTCCTGTTTTATTGGCCTCTTAGTTTCTCAAGGCAGAGCCCTGACTCACCTTTTGAATATGAATATCAAAGATTTCATTTTCTCTAATCCAATAAATCCAACTTTAGACATAGTGACAGTGAGATGATGTACAAAGTGTTGGGTGCCAGTACTGAAAAAAATAAGCAATTATCTATGCCATTCTCCAGAGCTGCTTTAACAATGAATATAGTTTACTCATCCCTGGGATTAATGAAAGCACATTGGATGATGATCACATGTGCATTGCTATGGCTAAACTGGTTAAGTACATCATAAACTATATATTATGAAACACTTATCTATTCTTTCTCTACTTCCCATTGGATACTGTCCAGTTACTATGTTTTTGTTCTAGATTTTTGTTGCTTCGAACATTTGACACATTTCTTTTTTGGAGACATGCTCATAAACAGAAACAGTTGCAAAGCAGAGGTATCACACAGGGAATGAAAGCACCTCTAAAGAGCATTGGCCTTTCAATGCACTGATAACTTTGGATCGATAGCCTGCAAGGGGCATCATAAGTATAGATTTTTTATAGTAAACATATCTCATGAAATGAATTTGGCACCTGTAGATGACTTTGTGACATATGACCTGGTTTCAGTACATTCCTATTTGGTAGGGATTCTTCGCTAATCAGTAATTGTCAAATGTGAGAAAATCACATCTGGTCTCTTGATTTTGGTTACAGTCAAGATTTCACTGTTATCAAGCAATGTAGTAATGAATTCTAGGGGAAGCAAAAATTCCATAAGGACAAAAATTGCATTGCAGGCTATATGTGTCATATTTAGTGGTTCAAAAATTATTTCAAGTCTCTGAGCAGCCATGGCCAATGTCTATAGACTAATACAAGAGGCTCTCACTTCTGCATAGTAGATGCAGTCAGACACAAGGATGATATCAGGTCTTGGTATCTCATTCTTGGATTGCCCCAGATCCCAGCCCCAGATTAGGACTTTCGAAGTGGCTCTCCCCTCACAAATGAGTGCGTTCCTCCTCACGTTCTCCCCCAGCAATGGAAACATCTCAGGCAGATCTGTCAGTGTCACATCTCCCCTTAAAGATAAAAATTCATCATTGATAAGGTCAAAGGGTTTCACTCACTTCACCTGGAAGGCCTAGGCAAAACGGTACACACACGTACATCATATATGATATAGATGATGTACGTGTATATGATAGATGAGCACAGTGTTTTGCCTAGATGAATTAGTGAAGAAGCAAAACTCAGTTACAGATGTGGACAAGGTAATCATGCATCGCCTGTACTTACGGTTTAACTCCAGTTGGGCTCAGACTGCTCAGCTGATAAAAATTCACGAAACTGGACTGATATGGTTGTTTGCAATTAATTTAGAGAAATCCTGTTAACTGGAGATAAATCGAAATTACACTAAACGACATGAAATCACGAAGCGGTTGGTTTCATTCTGATAACTTCCACATTTAGCGCTATTTGGGGATTCCTCACCCGAAATAGGCAGCGACGAGGCCCACGAGGCCAGTGCCCGCTCCCAGTTCCAAGACTTTCTTCCCTCGGAGGAAATCTTTTTCCTCGGAGCACAGCCTTTCCAAGTATTTGGCGAGAACGAGGGCCGCGTCCCACACGACGCAGCCGACGTCTCCGATCGTCTTCTGGACGATGTGCAACGTGGGCCTAACCTCTCCTTCTCCGATTTCGAATTCCCGGATGCAATCTTCCATCCTCCTCGTAACCGGAATCGCGAGCCACAAGGCCTAGGCCTGCACGATGCGAGCACGTGCGCCACACGCGGCCACCATGCCTTGGCCGCAGTGCTGTGACTATCGTTTCTCGTCACTGTGCGTGTGTGGACTTGAATGTAATTTCAGATCTCGGCCTAAGATTTATGTCATAAAATTCCTCGTGGCCAACTTAGGTTTGTATGTAGACTCATCTGGTCTGACGATTCGAGTCGACGAAGCACTTCTACGCCTGCAGGGTGGCTGTAATAGGCTTGGCTTTGGGCTTTAGTGCGGTGTCATGTTTAGTGAGGTTCTCCACACTTGGGCGGTTAGACTGCTGGACGATTGGTGCACAAATTCCCGCATTTAAGGCCAAGTAACTTAATTCATGAAGAGCAGACATGAGTGCTCAACCCTTTGTTAGACCTTAAAGTTTTTTCATCGCAGGATGTACAAAAATAAGGAAAACCCTCCGATTCTTAACGAAGGACAAGAGTGACCTGCCCCATCGTGAAGTGTGTGCACCTTACTATCCTATGGGCCTTATTGTCAAGTTTTAGTTTGTTTCCTTGTTTGGGAAGAGATCTGCCCCCTGTACTTGATTCTTCACTTCATCCATTTGCCCTAGTGGTGATTTTGATCACTAGGTCTCTCTTTAGCATTGTTGGTAATAATGCTAGGCGTAGAGAAAAGGGGTAAAAAAAATCATCTAAAAACAATAGTGAAAAATTATAGTTTTGCAGGAATAAACATGACTATTAGGCTGTCACTTACTGCCACCATAGTATGTCTTTAATTGTTATGTCAATTGCAAGAGACATGACAAGCAATTTTCCTATGAAAATTAAATTTGCATGGCTCATTTTATTTCTTTTCGTTGCAGACACATCACCTCCCCCTTTAAGCCTTTGCTTGCATTCAAAGTCAAAGCCAGGGCATGTACATGAGTGAAAGTGACTTAATGAGTGGGGCTGTAATATGTAATAGGACAATGTATGCATCAGACTTTTGCAAATCCAACAGGACAATGGGTTTCCTGTATCTTTCACTAAGGGATATGGGACAATCCCTCCAAAATGCACGATGTTCCTAAAAGAATAGGATATGAGGCAATTTTAGTCAGAATCATTTGGAAAAGGTGAATTATCTCTTTTTAGAAATTTCATTGAAGAATAGTGAGAAATTATTCAGCCCAGGCTACAACAAATTTCAAGAGCACCGATCGGTGATGATTTGGCAACAAGTGCAAGAAGAGGGAATTCCACCTAGCCCTGTTTATCGGTCGAGACAGAGACCTACTCGTAACAGGGCGCAGAAGCAAGCAAGGTCTCAAGAGAAAAGCAATGCAGAAAACAAGATTCGGTGTAATACCTGCTTTGATGCCTCCGCTCAGGATCCAAAGGATGGATGCTATGGATCGGTATTAGGTTTGTGGGGCAGCGGGGATGAAACTTGCATCGTTGTGGTACAAGAGAGAGGTCTGGCTGTGTGGGGTAAATATCAGGGAGAAGGTTGGACTCTCAGGAGCAAAGAATTGCAGGATTTCCATGTTTCTTCGATCTGTTTGGATGGAGTGGACCAACTCTGCACCGTCTTTGTTGCCGATTGGGACGAATCTCCCTTTCACGTTCTCTCCTCCTACTTGTGCACATTTTGTGACATTTCTAAACATTGCCAGGATGTTGTGGAAATTGAAAGGTAGGATGCTTCTCTGGCCGCAAGAATAAGAATGCTGTATAGATGTAAGAAGTGAGAACAAGATGCACCAAACTATGTGTGGAGTTAATTGCATTCATTTTCCCTTGGCAGGGGACCTGGCTCAATTGATCACCTTCTTCAAGTAAGGAGGAATGAAATTGTCCTCAGCTGCACCTCATCATTTCAAGGGTCCACTGTCCTTGAGGCAAGGAAGTGCATCCTTACTCCTAATGCAGATGAAATCATGGAAGAGGTGAAACTGGTTCCTGTGGAATGTCATGGTTCCAGCCACGCTCTTCTGCAACCTGAAGGGATCGAGGATGCTTTATTGGCTGTGTTCCAATCCTGCATCATCGTATGGAATCATCAAACCGGTGATCTGGTGAAGACGATCCTTGTCGATGCAGAAAAATGCTCACCTACGTGTACTCTCAAGAGATCTACGTGGGCTGCTATTGAGAAAGTGAGATCTGTAACAATCATATAAATTGCTTATGTACATCCAAAAGCATACAGTCCCAAAAAATATTGCACTTTTTTGACAGATTTTCAATATTACTTTCTCTTTTGCTAGGGTCAGTAGTTGTTGGAAAGGTAATAATTCCTGTGATATATGTAGTGTAATGATTCATCCTATAGACACAAAAAAGAAGTGAAATTGTATGCCTCTATGCAATTCCCCCCCCCCCCACAAAGCAAGACACTCAAAGAAATTGAAATTATTCCATATGAAGATGATATTCTGCTAAAATGAAAAAAATCATGAGAACATGAAAATGATTAAATCCCTCTTTCTGCATTTAGTAGGTGGCCTGGAATAGCCCAATAATTTAACTGCAATTTTCCAGACATAGATGACAGTATGAAGGTGAAGAGATCAAGGATGGTAGTGGTAAATGTTTTTCCAGAGATTTCCTATCTGAAATTCAGCCAGGGGCTTTTCTGAATTATGACCGTTCACAAATCCCTAAGAATTTGTGCAGGCAGCCAGGGAAGATATGCATGCCCAGAAGAAGTCTAATTCAAATGCCATACCGTTTCATGACTACCAGGCAGAAACAAAAGCTTTTTGTAACATGGTGTCAGTTCAATTTTCTCTCCTTTCATGATACCCAAGAGGCAAATCATACCCTACCTGCACACCAATAACCTTATGTATATTTTTAGTACAGATTTGGATATCTTATCAGCAAATTCATAAGTAAAAGTAACCATTACCCACCAGTGTCATCTTAAGGACAATTTTTGGACATTTGTGTTTGAATTGAGGATTAAACTAACCTCCTTCATGAGGCTGTTTCTTCTTGAATATTTTTTTCTCCAGATTTACATTACTTGCATGCTCGTCTTCTTTCAAGGGTATCATTTACATTCTGACTTGCTTTGAAGATGTCAGTCTCATGGCAGTACATCCTCAGAAAGGAATTGTTGCATGTACCTTTTCTCTTCCATTCCCTCAAGAGTGAGTGACATCATTTTCCCATTCTCTTCTGGTTTGATGTGTCATTACATTATCATTCTCTTCTTCCCTATAGGGCACTTACAAGTATAATTTGTGGCAACAGTTTGTATGCTCTTGGAAAAATTGGCAAGGTGGAAATCATGCAGGACTTCATGTCAACAAGGGCAAAGTGCTTTAGCCACAACTTTCAATCCACCATATCAGCTTTCTTCATAACAGAGGCATCTCTCCTTGTGGCCAATAATGAAGGTAAGGTTTTCATGCTTAAGTTTGCATAGCTGTGATGTGATGAAGCCCATTGGTCAGTGTGGTTGATCCTTTTCTTGGGCATAATGGTACCTGGTAAACATGTAGATTCCCTTCAATCCTTTTTCAGTGAGTCACCTTTCAGAAAGGGAGAAATGGATATAAAGGGCAAATCCTAGTAAGAAGTCTATTCATGAAGTAAGTTATGCACAAGGCAAATTAAAAAATGTTTTTTATTCATTTGGAATGCTGCATGTATAGCCTCTTTTCCCTTGCATTTTTCACTTCACACGGTGTTATCTTGAAGCAGTTGACTTTATTTTTGCAACTGAGCAGGACATAGAGCCAAAATTTGCCATATTTGCTTTGAATGCCAAGGAATGATATGCAAAATAAATTTGAAAACACTGGAAAAAAATGCTTCAATGTTGTGAGAGCAAAACAACATTGCACCTGTCAAGATCCAATAGGCATCTGCTCAAGTTCTCCATGGCACATCAGAAAAAACCCCACTGTGTACACAAGATCTTCCCTTCAATCTTTCCTGTATTGAAACTGCTAATGATATCTGAAGCCAATCAATTACGGCGAGAATTCTTTTCCCTGCTCTGACTGTCTGCCACATTTGGTAGACAATCAGGGCAGGTAAAAGAGGATGGATTTCCACATTTCTTCACACACATTCTTAGTGTGGAGCTAGTCATTCATAGGTCTTTTACATTCCTGGGCTTTTAAATATGCATTGTCTATTAGGGACAGCGACAATACATCACAGTCATTAGACATAAATAATAAAAGCCAGAAAGCACCTTGCTATGCAAAGCTATGAACTTTGTAACTAGAAAAAATACTTCCATCCTCACATATTCTGCTTCAACATAGACTTCACTATCGCTATCATCTCACTAGATGTTACATTGAAGTCTCTTGATACATTATGACCTTTTTCATATCCCTTACTTGTGCTCAAAAGTGGGTCCATACAAGATAAGCTTCATCAAAAGCACAAGTTTTTCAAGGAAGGAAAATCCTTCCTCCATCCCAGTTGTTAAGAAAAGACCTTTCACAAACTTGAGAGGGCACTCATTCACAAATATAAATTTCATACAAAGGAAGACAGCATTCATTTCTGCAATAATCTTTGACAGCTCAGAATGGACGATGCTTCAAGACCTTATCAAGTCAGCTTTTTTTTTCTCCCTGAGCACATTTTGTATAAGCAGATGTTTCTAAAACGGAACAGATGACAAATGTGCTGCAATTCTCAAATTCATTAACAGCTCAACATCTTTTTCTCTGCTAACACCAGAAAACCCACACAAAAGGAAAACCCATTTTTCTCCAAAAGAATGAGTTAACCTATGCATTTGCATTCTTCACACAAAAGAAACATTTGCAGCACACCAAGAAATAATGACACTGACACAGGCTAGATACAATAAGTCTGAGATGCCTAGAAAAAAACAGATCCAATACTCAACACAGATACTAGAAGAGATTGAAATTTGAGATTGTCAAGGCCATGCTAGTAATGGTTCTGCTCCAATATGAATCACAGCCATACACTAAGCAATAACTGAAAGAAAACTGAAATGTAATCTATATCTGTAGTACAATAATAGTATACTATAAATGCAACATTTCCAGTCCCATTCAGAATTAAATTCATCTCTTGGTCCCCTTTGACTTTTTTTTCCCTTTGAACAGGTGTCCAAGACAAACAAGAGGCTGTGATTTTATTAGCACCTTGTGATTAGTGAGAAAAAATGCCAAAAGAGGTAAGAAAGGAAGTTATATCTGCATGGCAATGTACACTAATGGTTTTTCAAAATGCCAAGATGATACAGAAACTTAAGTTGACAAAACCAACATTAACCAAACTTAAATATGAATCTGAACAACCTGAGAGTGAGTGGTGTCAGTCTTCAAGAAAGACATTGCGGAATAGGTAGGACATGGACTCATCGTGGTGAATTCGTCGAATTCCTTCGGCCAGGATTACGCTGATGTCCACGGTTTTGATCTTTGAGCATTGAAGCTTCTGCATTTCATGTGGAATGGTATTGGTCACCACAACCTGCAGAACATGAATCAGACCTTAGGCTTGTGGACTGTGATACACATGCATGTATTTCACTCTTCTAGGGCCAGAAATGAGGCCATTATCATTATAAGCTGGAACAACTGCTTAAAATTTAATATCTTTTTCAAGGAACAGAAGGGACTATATTTCTTACACAAAGACTCATTAAATTTTTTAAACAGATACAGATTAAAACTTCTCTATGCATAAACATTATGAAATGACCTTATAGTCACTATTGTGGTAAATATCATCCTTCCCAATACACCTACTCCAAAAGAACTCGACAACTGGTAAAATTCAACTCTTCCCCCAACCCTACCCAATATATAGTACAGATGTTCAACCAGAACATCCTATCTTGGTCATGTTCTCTAAGAAGGAAGGCCTTCCTCCTCGTTGGGATGTCCCACGAAAAGGCCAGATTTTAAAACTACAAGTTATTAATCTATGCCATTCCCAATTTTCAGCATCTGGTAAAGTGTTAAAGTATCGTTGATGACTGAACTCTCAGACCTGCTATCGGAAAAGTAGTAAACATAACATAGCATAAAAATGCTGTTTCGCATGACCAAATCACTTTGTGATGACTGTTCATTATACTAACCTCAACTAGTAGAATGTGATCACTTAAAAGGGGGATTTATCTTTTTTACAACTTGACCATTACCTATGACCCATGATGAATGAAACCCATTGCTGAAACCCATACATTCATTGCACCATTCATTATGGAGATACATGCAAAGCAGAATGAAACTGACATCACATAACCCCTAGGAGATAATGAGTTTAGAGTGCTTGGGTGTCATAAAAACATCTCAATCAATGTCTACTCACTCATCTTCCTTCCTGACATCTGAACATATTACAAATTTCTCTTTCTTTTTTCTGAGAGGCCATGAGATGTACCAGATTCATTTTGCTCTCCTTATATCTCCTTAAAGAATTTGCACATTTATCGGACCGATAAATGTGCAAATTTTTTACAATGGATTTTAGTCATCATTACCCATGGATAAGCTCAAGCGGGAAAAAATTGAACTCCCCTTTTAAAAGGGTTGCAGAAAGTCACTGAAGTGCCTGAATGTGATCAAAAGAGACAAATGCTGGCACTTGAAGGCATTCAAGCAATTGAGTCTTGAGGGTAGCATCATCATGGGTGAAACCTACTGCCAAAAACCAACCACACATACAGAACAGCAAAACTGACAATCTGCTTGGATGTTATTAATTCCCAGATTAGGTAGCCTCCTTCTCCCATTCATTGTCTTTAAAAGCAAACAATCCAACAGGATTGTACTTTTAAACTCCTAGTATGGACAGGGTAGTCCTATTAGAGTACCTCATCAATGAATGACTCTTCAAGGAGACGTGGTGCATCAGAAGATAACAATCCATGAGTGGCCAACAGGTAGATTTTGTATGCTCCTGCTTCCCGCAACGTCTCCGCCACGGCAACAAATCGGTGTACATCATCAACAATATCATCCTGGCATAAACAAAATTACCTTAACATATTCCAGAAGCAGCTTGATGGACATGATTGCATTTCGTTTTTTTAATCACTCACCACCATGATGGCAATCTTCCCTGAGACATCCCCAACTACAGTGATAGGTGGTTTGGCCTTAGCCGTTAGGAATGGCATGTCATCACGGAGTTCATACGTTCGAGAGCGCTCGGGATCAGGAGGTGGGGAATTGCGACCGTCTTCCTGGTCGCTCTCACTCTCCTGATACTTCGGCTCCCCGTGGATCACAGCAATTCCTAGACGCAGACGTTCAGAATATGATGTAGCTTTCTTTGCACTTCCTGGGTCCCTGGCCACTATCACCCCATTTTTCCAGTCTGGAATCTACAAATATTCCATCCAACTGAATCTGAGAGAGGGCTTTTTCAATGAATCCAAAAGAAACATCTCTTACAGATTGTGTGATGTACTCAAGGAGAAAAGGTGATGCACGAAGGTTATCAACAGGACAGTCGAAAAAACCCTGTATTTCTTTCTGATGGAGATCCATGGTGATGATATGAGTCAGCCCAGCTTGAACCATAAGCTTGGCAAGGAGCTTCGATACAATGCATCCTCTCTTACGCATCTTGCATTGTTTTGAATAAGGCATGTACGGGACCACTCCTACAATAGACTTGGCTGAAGATGTTCGGCATCCATAAGCCATTATCAGGAGTTCCATGATGCAGTTGTTAACATCCCTGGAAAATGAGAAATGTGAATGACTCTTCTTTGCTTCATTCCAAAAATCCAATGTTTGAATAAATGGCTGGGCTTACTCAGCCATCAAACATCCCAGATGCTAAAGGCATTTCCAAGTCTTACAGCAAAAGTAATACCAATCAATATGTTTATAAACATTTTGCTTGAGGTACATGTAGAGTGAATGTAAATTTAAAAAAAAATGAAATTAAAAGGTATCCTGCAGAACAATAATGACATTGAACTTAGGTTGATATTTGGCTCTCAATCAGAGAAGTTAAACACACTGTATTGTCAACAAAGTTTCCAAAATACAAATTAAACCCTTTCAGAATCAACTGGAAGGTCATAGTGTCTCTAAAATAGGTAATCTCACAAGACTTATAGATGTTTATGAGGCAAAAATTCTATTTTTATACTTGCTTATCAGCATGCCACATGTTGCCTATAGTCACAGATGCAACCAAAAATTTCATTACACCTCCAGTACAAGATAAGAGTATCTTGAATACTTCAATGAATTTACTCTGGAACAGAAATGTGTTGTTTCATTAATCACTTGTTAGATCTTTGTTGTCATTCACGCCTGCATTTGCAAGTCCATAATATGAACTATCTTCAAACAAGCTTGCTTTAAGTATGGTAATGGAAAAAATGCAGCATTGGGTCTTTCATCATTCTTCAAAAATACTTATTTGGATATTCTTTTGAATGGTCAAGCAGAACAGTGCCCAAGAAATAAACTTGACCAAATAAATTTCACTAGTCACAACTTCACTGAATCCAATTTACACTACTCAAAATTTGGAAGACAGAAAAAGTATAACTTTTTCCTTCTGCACTTTAATATATTTATCGGACATGCCTACACCACTTTGCACCACTTTTTTTCACTTTCTTCATGCTCTGCACAGCTCATCACAAACCATGAGGTAGCTCCCATCTCCAAATAAAACAGGCATAGAATGAACATACTTTCTGCACAGGCATCTAGCATCAGTCCTATCCAATACATGTGCCATCACAGTAGATTCAGACTTGCCACTTCACTCACTTAGCTCCAGTCTGGAGAATGAAGACATCTTTTCCCCTTACTGAATCCCCAATCTGCACCTTCGTCTCTCGATTGGTGTTATGGGACACAGAACATATTCCAACTCGAACTCCCAGGCGGCTGGATGGAGGATCCAAAAGAACCAATAAATACGAAATACCTGGTGGAAATAAAAGCAATGTCTTCCATCTGCAAGTCATAACAGGCAGCCATAGTCAACATTGTTAAATTGACCATTGCCACCACTTACCTGACCTAGTATAATGCCAACATGAGTGAAGGGGGAGCCCAGGGGTGAGGGTGCCTTACAGCTCTGGTTAACAACATTGCACCAGTAATCCTGAAGGTGTGGTTCAACTCCTTCAAAACTTCCCATGTTTTTTGTTTTGCTTTCCTGCAGTATCCCTCAGTATGCACTAACTTACACCAAGCCTATGAAAAATTAAACCATACAAAGCCAACTATATGTGTGGTGGTATCTGTACTAATGATGGAAGTAAATGGTCTAAAGGATGACAACTATAGATGAATAAGCTGAGTTACTCAAGAGTAAACCAGCCATTCTGGTCTGGAGAAGAAATACTAATTAAAGAAGGCCATAGATACTAACTCAGTGGAATTTTCACTATTCTGCTAGGTGAGTTGATTGACAATGCCAGAACAAAAATGTAACTCTGCATTATACTAATTCCAGTTATGCTAATTGTATTCCTCTAACATGAGGGAAAATGGGAGAAAAAATATATTGTTACAATTTTTGACAGAAGAAAAACAAGGTTTGTAATTTTTAGTTGTTTAAAGTCTCACATTTTTTATGGAGTGGACTAGCTCCTGGCTTGGCGACTCAAACAGAGGTTAGTGTTTTCCAGAAAAATATTCTTATTACTTCCCCACTAGTGAAATTCACTGATAACATGTAGTCAATTTAATTTTTTAAAACATGGACTGTGACACACAGATAAGGACAAAAGGCCCACTGAATTTCTGAAGCTATACCATCTATGTCAGAAAGAAAAGCAAGGAAAGAACTTTATAACTATCAGGTAGCCCCAGTCTTTCAATACTTTACCTGAAGAAATTAAAAGAGAAACAAGGTCTTCAAATGAAAATTGCTTTTCAATTCAGCACTATAGAAAAAAAAAACAGGTATTAGTGCTCAAGTGAAAATAATTTGACTGAGATACCTTCAAGCAAGCCATGGCTCTCACCTTCACCTAAAACATTTCCCACTGTTAAGTTTTTAATATTTATTATCAGTGTTTCACACCTGTTGCTTCTATGTTTGGATCTATTCCTGGATTACAAGCCCCCTATTGTGAGACACCAGAAAAAATACAATGGGAATAAAATTCGAAAATATAGAGCCAGGTAAGCTGTTATTGTTACAAGATCTATTGGAGACTTCCACTGCAGTACATGCTTAACAGATACATTAGTGTCCAGAAAATCCCAATGGGTGGGGGTTGACAAATTAAAAATCGTAAACCACCCTGCATTCATAGCCAAATTTTAAAATGTTTGCTAATCGAACCTATAATGTATCCCAAGTTGGGAGGTTATGACCCCATAACCTCCTAACCCATCAGGCATGCCACTGTTCCATTGGCAAGGGTTGGGGTGGAAAACCAACACATATTGGGCATTTGAAAATAGGTTTGAGTTCAAAATACGGCCTATACTACGGAGAAAGCGGCGGAAACGTATGATGCGGTGCATTTGGGCAGGATACTTCTATAGGCTAACGTTAAGCCTACCAAAAATTTAAAAAAAGAAGCGAACTTGGCGACGAGGGTAGCCAGATCCGGATTGGAATTCCCAGTGAAGAGAACAAGATCGCCTTTCCCATTCGAGGGGTTCATGGTCCCGAGTGGTGACCGTCGCTTGGCCAAAACATCGAAAATACGTTGAGAAGCCAGAATGAAGACAGGTCGGACAAGATACGACTGAGCGTCAGATGAGAGCGCATGACAACCGGAATCGACAACGCTTCCTGGGTCACAGGGTGCTCAAAAATTCACCTCCTTTCATCCCTCAGTTGACTGTTGCTGGATGCGAAAATGCTCCTCGTTTTCTCGTGGGTTTTGATGGTTTTTCGCTTTTCCGTCATTCATAACTCGTATGTACTTTAGTCGCTCATCCTAATGACACTCTCTTTCCAATATTTAATGACCTGCGGAATGCATTTTTTATGTTTCCATGTTTCCTCTTGTATGGTGTCACAACTTCCCGGGCACCACGGTGACGTCACTGCGACCACGTGCAGCTCAGTGCTCGCTCGGAGAGCGCCTTGCTCCTGCCTCCTCGCCTTTCATAGGACCTCTGTTGACCCGCCTCGGCCCGTAGGCCTTATTTAAGACCCGCATTTCGAGGTAATCGGCCTGTCCCGGTCTTTTCTATGAATATGTATGCTGGGGATTTGAGTTTTTTCGTCTATATGACCGTGGATCTGGTTGGTCTATTGAGAAGCAAATAAAAACAAATCTCTGGTTGAAAGGTTTTTACCAGGAATGCACTCTTCTAGCAACTTCGTATGGAGATTTCAGTGGTTTGTAATTTTGATTGTGCTTCAGGTATAATAGGAGAGCACACCTTCTCTGTACCTTTGCTTAGAGTACCTGTTGCTTTCTTGGTCTGGCCATATATATTTTTTGAGGATCAGCTGTATTAGCCAGCTATTGTATCAACTGCTTTAAAAATTACTATGAGGTTGATTGATTCCTAGGTGACTACCAAATTCTCTGTGTAGCATGAACACAACTACAACATTTGAGAGTAGTCCTGGAGTGCTTGATCTTATTTTCCAGGAAGATATGGCGGGCAGAATTTCACGATCCATCTCCAATCAAGCGTACCTGGCGAGCAAGAGATCCAATGAAGAGGCAGGCAAGGGAGCTGGTATCTCCAGTCTTCCAGAAACAAAGAGCATCAAGGAACCAGGAAGAAGCAAAAGAAAGCATGTGAAAATTGTCCATGATGATTCGGCCCATTCTTGCACTGCCATTGCCACAGAAGAGAAGAAGGAAAAGTGGGAACCTGAAAACTGGCAGGAAGTACTGGATAATATCAGGGAAATGAGAAAAGACCGGACTGCTCCAGTGGATACGATGGGTTGTGAGAAGTGTGGTGATGAAACAGCAGAACCAAAGGTATATAATTAGGACTTTTTTTTACTAGTTGCTGGTGAGTTTGATGCAACTTTACTCTGAAATGACTGTCAATTTTTCCCAAATGAAAATAAGCCTGCAGTTGAAAGCATTCACTCTCTTTTTGCCAGGTTTATAGGTTCCACACATTGGTCTCTCTCATGCTGTCAAGCCAAACCAAGGACACCGTGACCCATGCAGCCATGCAAAAACTGAGAGCCCAAGGACTCACGGTACCAAAGCTTTTGGCGATGGACCCTGATACGCTTGGTAAACTCATATATCCTGTTGGATTTTGGAAGGTAATTATTATTAAAATATTTTGTCATTTTATTTCATTCTGTGAGACACAAAGTCCAAATTTGAATTCCACATGTATTCCACCATTCAAGCGAAAAGTGGAGTACCTGAAGAAGACAGCACAGATCCTGAAGGATCAATATGACGAAGACATCCCCAATACAGTTGAGAGTCTTCAAAGCCTGCCTGGTGTCGGTCCAAAGATGGCCCACCTTTGCATGGATATAGCATGGGGGAAGCTTTCTGGAATTGGTATGTGGCTCCCATTCTGGTGTGCTTATTGTCTTATTCATTGCATCAATAGCCTTAGCTGGTTGCATTGGATAAAGTTCCTTGGAGTTCCTAAAAGTTGGTTCTACGAAGATGACCAAAGAATAAGCATCAGTTTAGAACAGCCTTATTAAAAATGTGGCCCAATTTCTATTTTCATGTCCCACTTTGACACTAATAATTAACTTTTGCATGTTTAGCTTTACAGAAATGTAAGACTTTTTAAATGCACCCATTCCTTGTTGACCAAAGTATCCTTAAGCGTCAGTTGACGCATATGCACGTCAGCCTGCTAGTGCTGTTGACACATATTTATGCAAGTTCGATTAAATCCATCGTGTATAAGGGCTTTCCCCAAAATTTTATGTGGAAGTTTCTGGCATCTCTTGCATTTGTATATACTATTAATTCCAATAACTATTTTGCAAATCCAGGGGGGTCAATTTAGCCACCTGTGGGGATGGTTGAGTGCTGCCTCCCCTGACCCCAAAGGGTTAAGGTGAGGGTGTTGAGAGGGGATGATTTCATCTTGTGATTTAATTTCAAGGAGGGGGGTCAGGTGTATGGCTGTCTTCATTCACTATGTAATGATCCTAAGGTGTTTGGTTCCACACAATTTTCATTTTTTATTGTGAAATGGTAACAGCTTTTAAGCATAAATAGATAAATGTCTTATATTCCTCAAGAAAAGTGCTGAAAGGCACCGCTCTAGGAAAGTTGTGTCAGCGCCTCATCATAATGATGTTATCTGTTAACATTGTTGCAGAATCTTCTCAAATTTTAAGATCACTCTGTAAACAAAATTTTCTCACCTTTATGATCCTCAGAAAAAAAAGTTTTTTTTTTTTCCTGAGAGATGTGATATAAGACAAGGTTATGTGTGTTCCTAGAAATATTCTTGACATTAGCATAATTAGTCTTTCTGACTTGCATGGCTAAATAGGTGTGGACACCCATGTGCATCGGATATCCAATCGCCTTAAGTGGGTGAAGAAACCAACAAACAACCCTGAGGCCACCCGAAAAGGCCTTGAATTTTGGCTCTCTGTTGACCTTTGGTCAGAGATCAATTGGCTTCTCGTGGGATTCGGTCAAGAAATTTGCACACCTGTCAGCCCCAAGTGCAGCCAGTGTCTTAACAAAAGCCTCTGTCCATTTGGACGAAGCAGTCTTCGCTCCCAAAAGAAGTCTCCTGGGGTTCCTTTGAATCTTGATTCATAAAAATGGATCCATATGATATTCAGCTTTATTGTTATTTTCCTGCAAGCCAATGTCATACTAGTACAAAACTATGAATAAATGCTTCTTTTTTTTTGCAGTGAGAGTAAATGTTTTTCAAGACTTGATCCAAGGAAGGTTTTCAAGGTCCACATTCCCACCACACAGAACCACTCCAATTTTCTCAAGAGATGCAGGCATGGCCTTCATCTGCTGCGACAACGCAGCAGCCACAGCTGCTCCCGAGGCAGCCTCGATCACGAGCTAGGAGCAAACAGACACAAAGTACTGAAACCTGTTAAGAAATACTAACTTGAGACAGAGTCACCCAGCAGTACCTTCATTCTCTCCCATGTAAACTTCATGGCATCAACTATCTCAGCATCTGACACAGTGAAGACAGTTTTTTCTGCATACTGGCAGAGGATTGGAAATGTGAGGTTGCCAGGTTGCTGTAGTCGAATCGCATCAGCTACAGTAGGTAGAAATATGGGTGGTCCCTCCCATAACCTTGTTCCTTCTTCAAGACTCCTCTGAAGATCCTTTCCCTCTGGCTCTACGGCATACACTATGGATAAAAGTGCATTCATGGTTAAAGGATTCACCAAACCCAAGGTGGTTTGAAAAAAAAAAAACTCAGTTCTGTATCTTATCTCCCAACTTTCTACATAAAAAAATACACCAAATCCATGAAAGTATGAAGAGTCATTTTGTGGGGATGTTGGTCAGTGTCCAAAGCAAAATACAAAAGGCTGGCTTAATCTACATGAACAGTAAATTGCTTCAAGTTCCACTGTCTGTTTCTCTCCAGCTGAACCACAGGATATACTTAAGTCTTATGACTATAAATAAGAAGTCTGTACCTTGAAAAAATTAATACATAACTTCATAGGTGAAGGAGATGAATTCTAGTAAAGACCTTTTAGCCAGAGTGATGACATGCAAGATACTGGCAAAGACAGAGAAATTGAGCTAACACGAGTCCTATACTTCATTAGGATAATTGGCACTTGTCATAATTAGTATGCGTAACCAAAAAACTTGAACTTCCTTGTTGTTTTGTGAGTAATTCATTATGTTACCTCAGGTCACCTGCTCTTTCTCATAGTTATGCAATCTACACATTTATGAAATATCATTAAAATATGTACATGCATGATTAAAAAACAAATAAATTAAGATATTTTACAATTGAACCCTTTCTCTCTTGAATTTCTTTTGTGACCCACTGGTTGAGAATCACTGCTAATTGTCATTTTGGTGAAAACCTTGAAGAAGAAAAATTAACTACAAATCCACAGGTTGCAGCAGTTCATGAGGAACTCAAAGATACAATGTGTTTAATTGTCACAATGTTTAAATCAGGTCATTTCCACTCTCCTGTAATGTGTTTGAAGCACTTTCACAAGTACTTCAGAGATCCATTAAAAGAAAATTGTGCAGAACTTCAACCTTGAACAATTATAGAGCAAATGATAAGATCTGTACAATCTGTATTTAGGTGCTTTCACATTGTCACAAAATTTTTCTTATACATCCTCTCATCAATATCAGCAGTCAGTAGGCATGCTTATTGAAAACTTCTCAAAATTCTTTCCATTGGAGGGATTCACTGGTTCAAACAGACCCAGTCAGCAGCTACACCCTGGAATCTCTGCCCTGCTCAGGCAGGATGAGCCCACCTGCAGAGTCTTCTCCACAAATTTCAAAATTTCCTGCTTCCCAGGCCACAAGAAAGATTTGGAGATAAGCTGATAGCTCCAGATTTTGTTTCTGAACCACCTCAAATGCTCACCTTTGCACTTGTCACTTAGTCCCTTGGCACCAACAGCGATACCAGATGTCATCCCTCCACCTGATATAGGGACCAGAATGGCATCCAAATCAGGTTCTTGCTCGAGCAACTCCAATGCGATTGTCCCCTGGCCAGCCATGACCCGGTAATCGTCGTATGGATGGACGATGGGAAAGTCCTGCTCTCTGGAAAGCCTTTCACATGTTTCTTTTCTGGGGAAAACATAAAACATGTTGAGTCACCAACCGAGAATGACATTACATTCAGAATCAATGGGTTTTTTTTTTCAATAGTTTTCTGTTTTTTTTTGTTTTTTGTTTTTAGTAGCAGGTACTATTGCCCCACTTTATTTAAGTATTTAAGTATTTAAATTTAGTCTCATTTAATAACAGGAATTGAATTTAAAGCAATTTTTATAGTAGTTTTCTCTTGGAAAGGTGGTAGTGCTTCATGTGCATGCAAGGAACTTCAGAAACATCAATGTTGTCATGGCTCACTCTCATCTCCTAAATGCATCAAGATGAACCAAAGCAGCACATATCTTGCTGGTTGGAGACTTGAATTTTTGCCAGTTATCAGATATGAAATTTTTTAAAACTTATGCAATATCTTGGATTCCTAAGAAATATGAGTATCTCAAGAGACTTTCAAATGAAGTAATCTTAATCTTATATTCATTTTTTCACAAGGACTCATCTCGTGAACATCACAATCAAACATCTTTTTCCCACCAATATCAATGAGAAACAATCTTCCTGAACCTGACCATGTATCACTATTCCATGACTGCAAGACATGCAAAAGCAGTCGTCATGGCATTTCTCCTAGTACCTGGAAGCAGGCGTTGGGTCACAGAAAACCAGCTCTGCCCCATACCCCTGGATGGACTTGCATTTTGCCTGAGAAGTGCCTCTTGGAACCACAATGACTGCTTTCAGTCCTGCCCTTTGTGCTGCATATGCCACAGCTGTTCCATGGTTTCCACTGCTGTGGGTTATCACTCCTCTGACTTCAGGCCTCTCCTCCTTCAACTGCAGGATCTACAGTGATTGAAGTCACAATGAAAGGAATTTTCATTCTTGCCACTGTTCCACTTTTGTATATGATGATGGTGAGGACCTTACAGCATTGCTAGCACCTCTGGCTTTGAATGACCCTGTCTTCTGCAAGTTTTCTGCCTTGAAGAACAGCTTTCGTCCCGACAGTGCATCCATGGTTTCACTCGTGAAGACTGGGGTCACTTGAACGAATTGGGCGATCCTTTTGGATGCAGCCTGAATGTGGGCTAATGTCAGCTCAGACATGATGGATGCAGACCTGTTGAGTAATCCTGGGGTTCAAAAATGCATTGAGTATCATGAAAAATGAAGATGAAAGCGTATTTTTTTTATGGGACTTAAAAATGAAACTAACTCTTCATTCAAATTATTAAAATGAAGGAGATTCACATAGGTCTCTACTTTTATTCACAATTGCTCCAACTTCATGCCCTCACTTCAATACCACAAAGTAGGATCACTTGGAACATACTTTGATTTGCAAATTAATAATACTAGAAGAAAAATTATCTCTTGTGGTGTGATAAGTTTTTCTGTGTGCACAGGGAAAAATTAATTGGGCTGCAAGATGGCTGATTTCACTTCCAGTGGCATTAATGGCCATGGCAATGCTGAAACTGTATTTCTCTGAATTTAACACATTCCTTATAGGGCAAAAACTGATTGTGGAAGGTTCCCTTTAATGTCTATATTTGCTATTGCATTAGGATCCCTTTCTCCTCACTTCTTCTAATGCACACATTATTCGTAGAAACTTTATTCTATATCTAAAATTTCAAGTTCATATCTCAGAAGTGTCTCCCATTCAGAAATAGTTTTTCTATTCATCCTTCAAATTGGCTCCATTGGTTCAGCCGAGAGATTATCACACCTGTCAACCCCAAGTTCAGCCAAGAGTCTCAACAACAACCTCTGCCCTTTCAGGCAAGGTAGGCCCTCCTCCCTGAAGGAGCATCCTGGAGTTTCTCTCGATCATCATTCATACAGCCATTCATACAGCAATTCCCCATAATGGTCCTCTTCTTGCCAGAAAATGTTGTGAAATTAAAAAAGCAAAGACTGGAATACTTTATTTTCTACTGCAATAGTGAATGGTTCTCAAGACTTCATCCAAGGCAAGTCATCAAGGTCCACGTTCCCACCACACAGAACCACTCCAATTTTCTCGAGAGATGCAGGCATGGCCTTCATCTGCTGCGACAGTGCAGCGGCCACAGCTGCTCCCGAGGCGGCCTCGATCACGAGCTAGGAGCAAACGGACAAAATCCATTTGTGTCCATTTAAAATGACTGACTAGACAGAGTGATCTTGCAGTACCTTCATTCTCTCCCATGTTAACTTCATGGCATCAACTATCTCAGCATCTGACACACTGAAGACAGTTTTTTCTGCATACTGGCAGAGGATTGGGAATGTGAGGTTGCCTGGTTGCTGCAGTCGAATTGCATCAGCCACAGTTGGTAGAAATTTGGGTGGTCCCTCCCATAATCTTGTTCCTTTTTCAAGACTCTTCTGAAGATCTTTCCCTTCAGGCTCTACTGCATACACTATATCATGGAGGTAATGAAGAAAGAGGACCAAGCAGTGAGATTACTTGACCATAGAATTGAAAAGAAGTCTGCCATGACACATTGGGACCCAGGCATGCAGCTCCTTCAAGGGGAGAGTTCCACTATAAGTTATGGCATATGATTGAATAAATAAAATATCAAATTACAAATCAGTGATCTGATATAACTCTGGGATTCATTTAAAAGAATCAATTGAATTAATAAAGTCATGATTGGTAATTCCAATACTGGTAATAATAAAATATTGGTAATGGCCAATAGCAGCCAAACAAATGCCACACTAATAATTATTAGAAGCCTTTGAGTTACATCCTAAATCCCAAATTTAAATTAAATCATTATTTTATATTGCCCATCTGTGCAGAGATGGGACATACATCAGTGTAAAAATCATAACACAGCCAAAAGTTGCACCTGTATGTGTAAAATACCAAAAGTCATTCAAATGACTTGTCTTTGATCAATCGCATTGCCAGACATCACCTGATTTGTCAGTAAACAAAACAAAGTAGATGATAAGGGAGCTATCAATTACACCTTTATAATGAGTCAATAACCAATATGAAAATTATTTTGTTAGTTCATGGAGAAACATGTGGAAAAGTTTAGCAAGCTCCAAAAAAAAAATTACAAACATATATATATACTTAGGAGCCGTAAAGCCATAACAAATCAGAATTATTAATGCTTACTCCCAGGCAGAATATATCTACTTTTGTTACAACAAATTTCAAACCTTCATGCCAGCAGGAAAGAGGCACATATCAAGAATAAATTGATAGATTGGAGTTTTCCCCAAAGAGAGATTAATTAAATATGGTGGAGGCCCAGGATTGATATTGACAATACAGACAAAAATTCACATAGTTGAACCATGAAACTGATTTAAATCAAGAGTGGTGAACAGATCTGCCATCACTGCCCCAAAAACTCACCTTTGCATTTGCTGCTGAGTCCCTTGGCAGCCACAGCGATGCCAGATATCATTCCTCCGCCAGCTGTAGGAACCAGAATGGCATCCAAGTCTGGTTCTTCATGCAAAAACTCCAATGCAATTGTCCCTTGGCCAGCCATGACTCCATAGTCATCGTCTGGATGGACGATGGGAAAACCCTGCTCTCTGGAAATCTTCTCACAAGTCTCTTTCCTGAGCAAAGAATATAAATAGCATTTCTGGGAATGCCAATTGCAGAATGAAGATGGCAAAAGGTTGTTCAGTACGGTGTTGCACTTCAGTTGTACTCGCTTCTTTGCATGTCTAATTTCAGCCCTGAAACCAACTAAGACTGAATTTGAAGCAACTTCTTCATTTAAAATGGGACATCCAGACAGAGGGCCAGGCATTTAAGCATGGCAGTGTGCATCAGCATGTCTTCCTGGCATCTCCCAAATGGGGTATGGTCAAGAGGTTCATGAAGTTCATGCATACCAGTATGGCTTATTTATTTATGTATATATATCTCCATCAAAGGAAACAGCCTCAATACCAAGTTGGAATGAACACCCATGAGTTGGAACAAATTTTCATTGTTCTCATTATCACTCAGTATTTAAATATAAATATGCCATCTCATCTATAGCTAATTCTTGATACTATTTTCAATTGAAATTTTTTTTAAACTATAGATTCATTTATTTAAAAAGTGCTGGAATGAGGTAGATGTCAGCCTCTCTCCTTGTTGATATTATTCCACAAGGATGTCATTCCATGTTACCATTATTCTAGCAATCCCATAAGTATTTTATTGTGTGCTATACAGCTGCTCTCAAAGCAGCAGGTCATTCGATCAGCATAGAGGAACCCATGACTTCCCAGACATAATCCTGCACCTGAATAAATTTGTAAGTACGAAGCCCAACCGTTCAGCTACTGAACCAGGTAAAACATTCATTTATTATCTTGGGAGTAATATTTTCATGTGCATGTAAGGACCCTCTGAAGTCTCAACACTTTGAGGTGCTACTATATACCAGTGTTACTGGTTGGGCTTGTGGATTTCCCTGCAATCAAGCCCTGCTAGAAGGGTGAAAGGTTCCTGATGATGAGGAACTATTCACTGGTCTTAGCAGAGTCAGTCTACTATGGTTACAAACGTACAGGCACTATTGGAGCTGAGTTATCAATTTTAGGAAGAGGTTTACTTTTGAAGACCTACAATGCATGAGTACTGGCATAAAATGTTTTGTTTGCTGTTTTGTGCTACTTTACACTCCATTCCATTCAGTTTCATCATGCCTGATAAGAGTACATTATTCTTTATCAAGCCTGGTCCTTTTTCTTATATTTTAGTTTAATGCATGTGCTGCTCAGTCTGATAATTTCAAGAACTGAGTAGGTGCAAAGAAAAAAAGAGAGGAGAGAATAAAGAGTTTTTTTGGAATTATTACTGAAGAGGGAGACAGTCATGTGTCTGCTTTGTCTTCACAAATTTTCCTCTCATTCCCAGCCTTATTAAAAAATTAAGCAACTGTTTCCTTGTGTCCTTGAGCAAGAAATGTGAAACTGCATATAAAAAATAAATAGCTTTTCAGACAAACTCCTGCTTTTCAGATCCTTCAGGATTTAACATGCTGGAGAAAGGGGATTGGAGGATGAGGAAATGCCCAAGAGAAATCATTGATGTAAGGGAGCCACCCAACTTCAGAAATTTCCTAGCAAAATCCATGTCCATAGGTAATATTTCCCTTTTTCCATCCACAATCAGAGGAAGAATGGCAACCTGCAAGCCATTCACTTTAGAAAATGCTGCATGGCATCATTTTAAAGGAGGAAACAACCCTCCACCAAGGTGAATCATGAAGTCCAAAAAGTCCATCAGTTTTCACATGGGTTTTCTTAAAATGGCAATTTTTTTATATTTCTCCTCATACCTGGATACAGGTGTTGGGTCACAAAAAACCAGCTCTGCCCCATACCCCTGGATGGACTTGCATTTTGCTTGTGAAGTGCCTCTTGGAACCACAATGACTGCTCTCAGCCCAGCCCTTTGTGCTGCATATGCCACAGCAGTCCCATAGTTTCCACTGCTGTGTGTTGTCACTCCACTGACTTCTGGCCTTTCCTCTTTTGTCAGCAGAATCTACCACATCCAAGTTCAAGATAAGAGGAGTTTCTTGCCACTGTTCCATTTTTGCAAGTAATTGTCAACTTACAGCATTGGCAGCACCTCTGGCTTTGAATGACCCTGTCTTCTGCAAGTTCTCTGCCTTGAAAAACAGCTTTCGTCCTGACAATGCATCCATAGTTTCGCTAGTGAAGACTGGGGTTGTATGGACATATTCTGAGATTCTTTTGGATGCAGCCTGAACCTGAGCTAATGTCAATCCAGACATCATAGACACTGATCTAAAATTCTGGGATTCAAAAATATATATGGTAACACAAAGGTGATGAAGATGAAAGTGTATTTTCCTTTTGGCAACCCAAAATGAGGCTAAACCTCTCAAATCAAATAGCTCCAGTCATTCAGACCAAAGAGATACATGCAATAATTGCAGTGATCAGCATTGAGGACCAATTTCCATCAACATAACATATTGCAACTAATCAAGTCAAGTAAAAAAATTCACAAAGCAATGCTGATATTTTGTAAAGCCAAAAGACAGTCCATTTACACTCCTTACTACAAATGGCACAAAATGGTTCAATCATGCCTAAACCATTTGATAATCTTCAGGACAAAATATCCAGCAGTCAAGAGTCCAAGGAGTAATTCACGCTGCTGGCGCTGGGCACTATCAGTCTCCAAAGCAAGAACCCTGCGATTGAGTCTTGATACCTGATGACGGAGAAGTTGAAGCTCTTCAATGGATGATATGGTTCCCAGAGGCCTTGGAGTTCCACTTTGGCTTGGGGTTGCTATAGGATTATTCCTAGATTTTGTATGTTCATACTGGTCAAGCTTAGGCTCGGGCTCATCATCGACACTGGGGAAGGTGTGTTCTGACAGCATGATGACTCGAGGCGGTGTAGGGATGCTCACATGGTCTGGAGACCCTGAAGGGAAGATGGCTGATTCCAACTGAAGCTCCCTTGGTGGCCCCTTCACACCGATAGTGTGCTCTTCCCCAGCCAATAATATTCTGTCTGGTACAATCATGTTTGGGACATGTGTGGGGCCTATAGGATTCTGAATCAAGTCACTAGCTTCACTGCCATAAAAAGAAATGCGCTTGGGGACTTGCATTTTCTCACTTATGTCTCTAGTGAAATCTAGATCGGAGTCTCTTGCTGCATGGCCATTTGAACTCACTGACCTTGTTGAACTAGACATTTTCTGGCATTTGATGAACCTGCAAAAAGGAGTTAGCAAATTCAGATGCATTCAATATAAGATTATTTCTCTGAATCTATCTATTCATTGGCTTTACTTAGTTCACACTACATACATATTTTGCTTATGTGAACAAGCATACTTAAAAAAGCTGTGTGTATCTGTAGACAAGACCTACCCAGATGTAATGGAGCTTGTTTGCTTCCTAATGTAAACATCCTCACAACAGAGTTAGCAATACAATTGTAGTTCAAGCTATGATAAATCTGACTGTTTCTGGACTTTTTCCTGCATCTGCTCACTCTCTACTTTGAGAGGACTAGAAATTTCTGAGCCACATTTTCAATCTCAGTAGAGACTTTGCTCATGTTTCATTTAAAAAAGGTCTACATTTGAAAGTTGTCAAATTTATGTTATGTATGTAGTCTCTAAGGTGTCTATATCTGAGACTCTTAAGAATTTGATGAGATACACAACATCCTGGAGTACTGCCCAGATCATAGGTATATGATGCAATAATGAGATCATGCACTAATGCGAGCGTAGGCTGTCCTGACGAAAAATCCCATGCTCAACATAGAGCTCGTTATACAATAGAGGAGGGAGGTGGGGCGGGGGGGAAAGGGAGGAAGGAAAGGGTTATAACTTTCCCATGTTCCATCATTACGTCTGGCTGTCTCCCACCCATACACCAACCTATAGCCTAATCTATACTGGGTCTCCATTCCCATGTACGCCTTGGCCTACTTTACCCAAACGATTATTTCCAAAACTGACCTGATTCATTGGAACATCAACCTCGTTACCTTTACCTATCTGTGCACGTCACTCCGTGCCCACAAACACAATCGCAAATCGCAGAATATCCTTCGGTGCTCTGACTCAGCAGCTTTTAACGGCCCACCTTGCGGAGAGCCATCTGTGGCAGACACCATAGAGTATAGGCCTCTTGCGTCTCCTACAGATGACTCTGCCAGTCTGGGAGACCGTCCCTTTACATTTGATCGGATCGATTTCGATACCCCATTTTAGGGCGCTCCTATCGATTCCAGGTCATGACATCTTCCACGCGGTGGTACCTTGAATCACCTGATGAAGCGGATCCTCAGGAAATAGTACATTTCCCGCTTCCCACTAACAAGGGGGGGTTCCGATTCAATCCGAAAACAGTGTAGTGGAGGCATGCCCTGTCCGGTTGCATGACTGACCAAATCTGCTTGTACCGTCCTCCGTCACGAATCCGAGCAGAAGCCCTTTACTCTTCCGGCCAGGATTGCCCTTCCGTCCTCTTCTAGTTCCTTCTCCTTTGCTTTCGATTCTCTGCGTTGCGATCTTTCCTGTCGTCTCTTGCATCTTCTTTCTCATCTTCATTCCAAAATATAGGGGAAATGCTTTTCAACTGAACTAGTTTGAGTGCTTTATTATTGGACACTTACGGGAAACTGTTCAGCAGATACAATCTCATTTCTACTGTTTATTACGAAACCAGTTTTGTTTAGTTAAACTGATGCGGTGCGCCTCGAGGCCGGATTAAGTTACGAGGCCCGGCGTAATGGGTGCCCGGAAAAAAAAAAAGTGCTCCATTATACATACAGTCAACTCTCGATAATCCGAAAGCCGGTAATCCGGATCTTCCGGTAATCCGGACATCTGGAATATTCCCGGCAGATGTCCCATAGAGTTAATATGAAGTTCTCCGTTTAATCCGGACAAGTTTTATTATCTCCTGGACCATTCTCTCTCGTTAATCCGGGCTTGCCGGCAAAAAGACATGATACAACAGAAAATATTTCCCTCTCACTTTCCCTCGGTTTGCGCTCTCACCCTTGACAGATTAGTTCGAAAGTTTTCTTTCGAAAAATCTTTCTTTTGTAACAGTAGCGTGCCCAAGGGGGGGGGAGGGGGGGGTTTGGGGTCATAACCCCCCCCCCCCCCCCCCCCCCCCCCCCCCNAGCCAAATTCGTCTGAGAGCCATGCTCGGCATGATTTTTGCACCCTTGATTCTCCATGATGGGTTTCTGAGTGAAACCCACAACAGAAAATTTCTTAATCGATAATCTTTTCTGTAAAAGCTGATTTAATTCGTTTTTGGTCTTTTTCGTCTGTTTTGCAACGTGCTTTCATCGTCTGTCCGTGAAAACTTTCTCGTGTGGATGAGGCCTCAGGCGAAAGGGCAAGTTGAGGTAACATGTGAATAGAATATTCCAGCATATGGAGGAGTGATAAACTTGAATGAGACATTCTCCTGACTCGGGTCCCGCATTTTCAAGATGCAAGAATCGAAGTGGAAGAAAATCTCGAGTATCTTTCTCTGGGACTCGGTCGTAAGGCACGCTCTGCTTTGCAATACTGAAAGGATTTTTTTTTTTTCATTATTTTTCTCATCAACCACTTGAACACTGGTACAGTTATAATAATCGTGCATCGTAGAAATTAAGGCCTTTTTGCACGGTAGACGTGCAGCTTTCTTCTCCTTGAGAAAAAGAAGAAAAATGAATGGTCACTCGACCAGGTTCTCATTAATCCGGAAGAGCCGTTAATCCGGACAAAGTCACCAGTCCCCTCGAGTCCGGATTAACGTTGCAAGTGAGTTTCTCGACAGCCAGGAGAACGAATTGCCTAACAATTTGATTTAAAATAAAAGAGTTTAATTAGTCAGGAAACACTCCTTAAAATATCAGGTGGATTGGTATCGTATGAACCAAAATTTGTGCCGTTTTTTAGCCATTGTCAAATTTGCGTCAAAGTACGACTTTTGCCCTGTAAATTTGCAGTGCTAAATAAATGCCCTTATTTAATCAAAAATATCGGAAAATATAGGGTGCGGCAAAAATACTCGAAAAAAAAAGAAATTAAACAATTTTTTGAAAATGACCAAATTTTTACAGCCAGTGAGAACAAAAAAAATTTACGATCACGGAAAGCTGTCAGCGACTTTGCTCGTCGTCTCCAAAGATAAATTAATGCGCTGATTGTTTCTTATTTGCAACGATTGTTGCTGTTTTTGCTTGAACCGAGGCGATAAAATAAACCGATTGGTCCATTTTCGAGATCATTTCATTAAATGATATAAATCTGGGTTCAGGCCAAACTGATCCGCCTAATATTTAAAGGCATGTTTTCTGACTATTTGACCTCTTTTTATTCAAATTTTAAGGCAGTTTGGTCGCCTGGTTGCCGAGAAACCTAAAAATATATTAAGGCGTACCTAGGTGTGCCTGCCTTCCAGCATTCCATTTGCATGAAGAAAAAATGATAAGTCAAAATATTCCGCCCTTATCCTAACAGATATTGACGATTTCCCTTCCCGCTCAGGCAGCAACGTAAACGCCATAAGAAACCACGACGGATACCCAAGAGGGAATGCGCTCAGTTTCACTCACCGGAAATTATTTACCTGGCAGTAATGAAATACAGACATAGGCTTCTGTGAACAAGCGGTTCAGCGTTGCATAAGAACCATAACGCCTTCACGGACGAAGGACCTGTCAGCGTCGCGAAACCACATCCGACTGGCAGCCACCACAGCGTCGTCGTCGAACTGCCGACAGGTGGACGACAGAGGACCGATCTGAAGGTGCCAGGCTGTTGAGGGGGTATAGTCCATCCCGTGGGAAAGTATAGTCCATCCCATCTTTTTAATAGCCTCTGTTGTTTGTAGGGTCTTATGAGGTTCGTTTTTGCGTGGAAGCACGTCTCCCACGCAGCATTCGGAAGCGTTCTGCGGATACGAGCTTCAAGTTTTTCACTTCACTCTTTGGCAGAATTCGGTTTCCTGCTTGGAATGGGCGTCATCGCACTCCGTCATTTGAATCGCCATGGTCGCGGTGCTCTCAGAAGTAGGAACCACGAGACGTTACAAGGAACGGCGAGACAATTTAATGTATTGAATACCTGCATGTGCATCTTCGTGCTTTTGCCTTCAGTAATTCGCGATACATAACATAGTCAACAAACGATGGCGCGCCTCGATTCCATGAGACCACAGGGGCTCTCTGACGACCGTCGTCCCTTTCGTCACATTTGTTTCGCTTGTGTGGGAAAGGGGGAAGCCTTACAGGCAGGCAAGGACCCATTCCATCTGACAAAGAAACCTGCATGAAAGATAAATATTGCAAATTGAGAAATAAATGAAGCAATCGCGTCCGCAGGATTGATGTGGTGAAGAAACCCCTAGAGCGTCCACCGTCTGCCTGCAACCGTGCAACACGACGACGCCTCGTCCATCACATCATTACGCGCCTTCACCGGGGAGCTTCGAAGGCCGCTGACAGGGATGCCAGCCCCGCAGTGATGCCCGCCGGCGATCGGATCCCGAGTGGGAGACCCCTGGAGGCCCCGCTAATGCTCCTGGTGGAACCATGTCAATCGTCTTCTTAATGGCCGTATCGCTCCCTCTTCCATGCACTCACGACGCGACGAGTAAAAATGTGATTCGGCACCTTGAGTCCCACTCAAGGCTTGCGCAATTCGAACCGGTTCCCCCTCTCCTCTGCTTTTACCATCGAGTTCGAAAAGCCTAGGACGTTATGCAAGCATTTTATGATGGGGATTCCTCTCGTTGACCTTCTCCCGAGTGCTTAACGTCGCTCGTATTTGTCTCCCTAATGCTTCGAGTCCTTCCTGAATTCTCTCCAGGGTCATTAAGTTCCATGCAGGCCTCGAGTATCGAACAAAGTTCTATGAATTGGGGCTCGCTGAAGTATATCGATGATCGATGATCAAGAGCAATGCGATGAAATTTGGGATCCCAGCGGTTGCAGGCAAGAGTAAGGAACCGTGGAAATACTTGCTCTTTAGTGGGTATTATTTTTCAATTTGCATTCAGGAGTAGAAACCGTGAATAAGGAAGGGTTTTCAGTAATCTGATCCGATCGCGTATTTGCAGGACAATGCTTTTCATTCGAGTCGGTGAACTATCCCTGCTTTGTTTCTCTGCTTAGGCCTACTGGCTTTCTCTGATGCGTGCTTACTTGCCGATGATTCTCGTACAGACGTGCTCCTCCGATGGTTATACTTGCATGAATCCGACCTCTCCCTTCGCGAGACCACGAGCCCGTATCGTCACATTTCGCGAAGCACGATGCCAGGTGTGGATCGGCAGCCAAATCTCGTCTCTGTCTCGGCTTTCGATTGGGCGTTTTCACGGGGTTCCCTCGAGATCGGAGGCAGATGCGAGACGCTGGGGGTCTTCATTCTCTCTCTCTCTAGAGGCATATTCGACTACTCATTTCTCTCTCGGAGCATATTCGACAATCTGTTCCTCTCTCGTAGCATCTTCGACCTTCCATTATCCATTTCCTCTAGAGCATACTCGACTATCCATGCGCAGAGGGGAGACGCGTTGCAGGTGGCGATGCTACAGTCATTAGTAACTTTTCACGGTAAGGGAAACAGGAACAGCTGGGTTTACCAAAAATTGACAGTTTGCGGGAACCGGCTACTTGTTATGTGAACAAAATATTTCACTATCGTTGCTCACTGACCAACTGGATCCTTTTAAAAAGTACCTTCCCAATCACTGTCGCATTGAGCCTTTGTCCCTTGGCGTCCTTAACGAGGGCTCTCGGCCGAAGGGAAGGAAAACTTTTAATTTTTTTGGAATTATTTTCTCTTGTGCGCCGAAGGGAGAAAAAAAATGGCAAGAGGCTTGGGACAATTTGGTACAAAACGAATCCAGCAGAAACTATAACTAAGAGTCATTCTTGAGTGTAATTATAAAATCAGCAAAAGCCACTGAGATAAGGTCTTCCATGAGTTAAGGAATTCACCTTTCCAAAATTTACCAACAGGAAACAGATCTCAATCTTCTGGACCGGTATCGTCCATAGCCAAGACTCAACGCATTTATGAGGATCATTCACCTTTTTTGCCTCCGACACAACCCTGTGACACGTCAAATTAAATACCTGCCAAGCAAAAAAAAAAGGTAATTCCTGTGGTAAAAGAGTTAATTCCTGCTTCTTCTCTTCCGAAAAAAAAAAAAATTTTAATGAAGGAAAATCGACCTGAACCCACGGCTCACGGAGAATCACAGAGCGAATCGGAAAGACACGAATGAAAAATTCAATCACTGGAAGTCGTTATGTCGTTCTGGTCGTTTTTTAAAATAATTTCCCTGCTGATTCCATCTTGTATTATTCATTTCCCGGTGAAAGGACCTCGCAACACTTCGCTTCCTGGGAATCGCGACTCGCGACATCACTGCACGCTGCATCGCACATCACTGCATCCTCCATCCGGCATCCCTGCATCGCACATCACTGCTCAGTTTGAATCCATCAGCGTGTCGTTAAAGTCTTCACGGGAAATTATTTCCGTCTCGCTTCCTCGTTTCCGCCGAAGTCTTTCGGTTTTCTCTAACGTATCGAGAAGGAACAAATTGGCTTTTAAATTTTCTTTTTTTTTTTCACTGACAGAGACTTTTATTTTGAGAACTTATTTTATTTCCAGACTTTCTTCGAACGTAAAAAATTATCATATTTGTGTAGAGAAAAATTCTTCCCAATGTCCTCGTCGCCACAAATCGCTGCCATTGCGGTTCTACACAATCTTCCACAAAGCAGCCGGCTCAGGGATCGCTTACAGGTGTCGACGAGGAATGAAATCGCTTGAAATCGTGTTTCAAGTTTCCGTTTCGTGCATCCTCTGCTTCCCGACGTCGGCTCGGTCTTCCCTCCGGTTCGGGTGTCAAAGAGCGGGAAGAAGTCTCGGTGACCATGAAAGGGTTAGCGAGAAAGTACCAGTCGTACTTAACAGTATTTTGCGTGTAAACTGATGACTTGAGACGCATGCAAGACCGTCAGAGTCTCATTCGCCACGAGGCAAAATTCGGTTTTGGCCATATTTTCAGAGATGAATACAGGCCTCGGTCCGATTATTTTTTCGCTTTAGATGGGTCCGTATGCTCTGGGAGTACTGGAAGTACTGGAAGTGCTCCTCGTGCGTGTCCAAGCCTCTGGTAGTACCGGAACCCGCCGGCGAAGGGGGAGAATTGCGGTTTTATTCGGGGTCATGCATGAAAATTGCTCACTCTCCTCGATCAATTACCTACTTCGGTTCCGCGATCCTCGTCACCTCGTTCCCGGTCATACCCGACCGAACACGAAAATGCGGACGAATCGAATTTGATTAAATTTCCAAGTGGCTCACGCGATCGCGAATCCGCGGTTGCGAATCCGCGATCGAAGTGTCGTTCCTCGGGCCTTCAACCCATCTGCTTACTAATTACCTTTGCCGGAGCTACCAGTAAAATACAATTTAATTCGATGAACATTCGTTAGCGACATACTAATGATTACTAATTATTAATGATTAATGAATGAAGTGCCAACAAATTGCAGTCATGTTGGACATTAATAAGACAAGCCGACACAAGACCGTCGATTCGACGATTATGCGAGTCAAGCGCACGTAAATTTCAGGCCGTCGAATCGACGGCTGGGTAAGCGGATGGTTAAGAAGAGTCCCCGAACAGAACGGCTCGAATAATTATCATTATTTAATCGTAAATCATAATTACCCTGAAGATCACCGGTAAGCGTCGAGCACCCACGAAGCCACAAAAAAGGGATCGCCGGAGATGATGTGACCGTCCGAGATGATGTGACCACCGGGGATGATGTGACCGATTCCCCGTTCCACTCGGGTGAGCCGTGACGCAACCGCTCTCGCTTTTTCCTTTAATTAATTCCTTCTTCTCCGCGCGTCTCCCGATTTTTCGCGTCGTTATTCTCGGATGACGCAACCGGAGAAGATCTCGACGGGCAGGCTAAGCGAGCGGTTTAACGAGTCGCGTGCTGGATGGCCGGATGGCCGGATGCCAGGGCGAAAAAAAATTGCAACACGGTCGATTGACTCATTTCGTTTATATTTCTCAATCGGCACACGGCGTCAACTCCACTTCAGGGACAGCGAGCTTATTTTTCGTTTTCATAAAAAATAATCGGGGAAAAAAAAACCCTTAAAAAAAAAAAACAAGAACTATGTTGAAAGCCCTTTTTGTCGATAAAGATGCATCCCGACGATCAGAAATTCCTCCCCCCGAAAAAAAAATCACACGCAAAACGCACAACCGTGAACGAGAGAGAGAGAGAGACTCGTAAAATCACTTGGTCGATGCCCAACCAGTTAAATAATACAGTGCTCTATCACATGTGCGGGTCCGACGGACCCCTCGAGAAGGCAAAAGAAAAGTCACGACCGTCGCGCGAAGGCGTGAAGACCCCGAAAGACGCTCTTCCGGCCCTCACGGCGTCGCGAATTTCTCCAGATGATGCAATCCGCACGGGGCGTCGAACATCTGATCGTTCATCCGGATCCACTTGTTGCTGACTGGAACGAAAATAAAAAATCATCGGGTGAAAATCGAGGATTCGACCGACATTCCACGCGACCGACATTCGAAGTCGTCACGGCGCCGATATCAGGAGCGAGGATCGACCGAGCGCGTAATGACCGGTCCGGATCACCCTTCATCCTTCCCCACTACCCTTCATCCTTCCCCATCGCCCTTCCCCACCGTCCAGATACATCATCTCGTGTACGTTTCCACCTTTCACACCTTCGCCACCGATTACGATCGAACGCTGTGACCCCGACCCATTTCGAAACGACATTCGCTCCGACTCGGATTCTCAAACTCCATCCGACTTCGATTACGAAACGACCGACCGACATCCCCCGACACCCCCCGACATCCAGAGAGAGACTCACTCCACTTGGATCCATGGAGGACGGGGCAAGCGGCGTGCCGAGTGTTCTCGTCCCCGAGCCCCGACTTGTAGAGATTGTACCAGAAGGCAGCGCTTCCCTTCTCGGGCCAGAGGGTGACGCCCGCCCGTGGGAACACCGTCGCTCCTCCCGCTTCCACGTCCGTCACCTGCCGGGGGCGAGGCGACCGATGCGTTCGACGGTGTCAGATGGAGGTCGCGGGAGCGTGAGAACGCGTTTTCGAGTGGCCGGATAAGAAATAGACTGGATTCTAAGACAAACTAAGAACTCAGAAAATAGTTTCTGTACAGATTTACCGATTCCCCCAAAATTGTTCAACGACACACGTTGAAGCCGTTAGCTCTCGACGTCGATGCACTTCCCAATCCCGGCAGTTCGACTAACCTTTCCGTCTAGTTTTTATCAGGCCACGGGAAACGCCTCACCGTCCCACACGAACGGAAAGAAAAGGCGAGAAACGCACGTAGATGAGGAAGGTGGCGAGCCGATCCCCGATGAAGACCTCGTGTTCCGGCAGCTTCGTCGGATCGGCCGTGTTCGAGATGAAGAAATCCGTGTGCGTCGTGTACAATCCCCCGATCCCGTAGTTGGCGATCTGGAAATCCTCGGCCGACTGCCGCTCCATCGCCCGGAGCCCCGTCGCGATCTCGATCCGCCGCGCGATCTTCGGCACCATCGGGTCGTCCTCGTTCCGCAGCCACCCGCTGCGAAAATCGTCACACCCGGCGATGAAACGGAAATTCAGAGAGAACGAGGGTCTCGCGAGGTTCTCCAAGGTTCTCACTTTTTGCTGGTGCGGACCATGCTCGAGACGTAATTACCGTCCGGCGCCATGTGCTTCGACGTCGCCAGCTGCAAAACATCCACGTCATTCACGCTTCTTTCTCAAAAAAATTTTTTTTGCCATTTTTCTGCGCGCAAATCGCAAAACCATCCCGAACGGTACAAGCCCTCTGACCCTGGGTATGCCGAGCTGCTTGTAGTGCTCCGCCTCCGCGTCCGAAAAGAAGTTATGGAAGACGACGATGTACGGTTCGTGAGACTGCTCCTCCAGCTTCAGGGGTCCGATCAGCAGGGACGGGTGCCAGGACACATACCGACACTTCAGTCCGGCCTCCAACGCCGGCGGCTATGGAAAAACGAGAAAATTCTTACCATCTTCCCACTTTGCATAAATAAAATTTACAAGGAAAACGTAATCATCAAAATGTATTATTAAAGTTTTAACTTTACTTTTACTTACTTTTAAATTTTAATTAGTATTATTACTTTTAAATTTTAAAATTTTTATCGCTAAACTCAAAAATCAACGTTAAAAATTAATTTTAAATCGTAAAATTCAATTTTAAAAATTAAACAAAAGAAAATGTAAAATTCACCCTGAGTCGTTCTCCCCTGCACAGCCTCTCCATGTGCTCCGTCTGCTCCTCTTCGGTCTGGATCTGGTAAAGCTTCGGCACGAACTGCGCCTTCGGGAGGGAGTCCAGGTACCGCTCCTTCCGTGCCAGCGTCGGGTCCAGCGGCCGCTCCCGCGTGTGCCAGTTGTAGCCGCGGGGGCCCTGCTGCTCCAGGATCTCGTCGTGCTGTGGGGGGGAAAGCGATTCGTCGTTTTAGATAATAATAAAAATTAGGGTCGTTTTCGAGCAGAACCTGCAGCTCGGTTTCGGGGAGCGTGGAATGAGAACTTCATGCAAGATTTATTTGCAAAAAATGTCGCTGTCTTCGAAAGATGCAGTTCGAAATCCTACGCTGATTTTTGCTCCTCTTCTCGCGATCGAGTTCCCCCAAGACTTTTCCTACAATTATTTTCCTTGACGTCACCATTTGGGTGGAACCAAGGCTTCGAGGAGGCTCGCGCCCTGCGACCGACCAAAAAATTAGGACATCTCATTTCTGCCGACGGAATTCGGCTCTTAATTTCACTTAACAGCTGTCGAGTTGACAGGGGCGCAACCAGAATATCGAAGTGGGGAGATTGCATGGAGATACAGATTCAACTAATGCTCCCCTTTCCTGTGAACATAACCGTGTTGCCCTTTGATATTTCGCACATTTGTTTTCATGCATTACGCTAAACATGGGGGGGGGGGGGCAGGGGAACCATGGGGGCCCATCGATGGGGGGTCCCATCAGTTAATTGTACCGGCTTCACCTATGCTAATTCCACGCCCCAAATGAAGAATAAGATTTGTTTTAATCTGTCTTCGACATGCACCGACGAAAATCGGATTAGTATCAACGAACTACGCTCATCTACGATTTAACGCTTTCGCTCCGGATAGGTTGGTGACTGAGGTTATTTTGAGGTCTACCAAAAAATACATAACTTCGGAACACAAAATGAAAGGGACTTGCTCTTTTTTGGAAATTGAACTATAAGCTCTCTATTTGATTGTGTGTGATTTTCAATATTATAAAATTTTAAAAGGTGTTCGAAAGTGTTCAACGAAGTTTAAAGGCGGTATGGATACACTCGGAAAGAGAATTCGGACATTTTGTAGATAGAGGATGAATATACAGGGCGAAGCAAAAGTTCCCATGCAGTTCTTGTATACTGAAAATTGCTGTTCTGCTATTTTGGTCCTCTTCTTTTCAGAGTGATAATGCTGGATGAAGCAAGTAGCTTTTGAAATTATATTGCACGATCATATGTGATTAGTGTTTTGTTGCAAACAACGGTCAATATGACGTTAAAAATTAAACCATCTTCTATATTCAACAACTGTGCAGAGACTTTTGCCTCACTCTGTGCACCGATGCAATTCGAGGGCTGTGCGTGATTGCGTGCGGTATCATGTGCCAGCTGCGGCCCCATCGTCCGCACTTAGTCCGTGTCCTTGGAAAGACGAAGCCTGCTTCGCAGTTCGCCCCCGAGAGGATCGAGCCGATCCTGTCCTCCCGGCGGGTCGTTGAGGGATTTAAAAAAATTCTCGTTAGTTTCCATTTCCTCCCATTTTTACCCAGTCGCTAGATGATGAGAGACATGAAAATGAGGCTTCTAACGGCAAAACAGCACGCCGGACTACCTCTGAGAATCCGCTTAGGGAGATAAACCTGCTTTGGAGCAAGTTCATCTCTCAAGATTAGTTGACGATAGGAATAAACTAATTCCGTTTGGTGCATGTCCCAAACCAGTTCAACTCATTCTTGAGCATATTTTCTCGTAGTTAGATCCGTTTAGTTCATAAACCGACGCGGTGCGTGTCGCCCGAAACCTTTGCAAACCTGTTCTTTTCAAACCTGTACTGCGGCGATTACGTCATAGATGAAGGTCTTCGATTTGATTCACATCACGATGAGTTCGTCGTGATTCGCTAAAGTGGAAATGTGAGATATTCGGACATATGTTTCTCCTGGCCGAACGACACCACAAACACCGCAGAAAATCGACCGTGATTAGCAAGGCCATAAGGCCTGGATGCTCTCCGTGAACAAGTTTCAGCGCATCTGCCGAAGCAAAATTGGAGAGACGTGCCGAATCCCGATAGGCAAACTCGTGACGTGATCGATGATGAGGATCGTCGAGGATCGTCAGCTGACGATCCTCATCATCGCATGACGACGGCGACGACGAGAACCCGTGGCGGACAATCGATAAACCGCATTACGAGATTTATGAGTAGTCTCGGTGGTCCTTGGACTCGATTCTGTCGACTGGAAAATGTGGTCATCTTCCGAATTTCACAATTTATTTTCCTTCCAGAAAGACGAAAGAAGCAAAAAGAAAAAAAAAACAACGCCAACATCGTCACTAACCGAAAAAAAAAATCCATCGTGCAGGCCACTCTTCATTCTTTGCAGTGACTGCCTCAAAGGGATAAACCCTCAGTCGTCACCTCCGCCCCCTGCCCCCTTGTCCCCCCCCTCCTCCCTTCACATCATTCCACGCCAGATAATGAAGGAATGAACGACGTGAAACAAGCATCCAAGGGGTCCTATTAGCGGGACTCCTTTCGAATAGAAAGGAACCACATAATCGCGGGCAGACCAGCGCGACCTCTCCGTCCCCAGCGACATCATTTATTTCCCTGGAAACGAATCCTTCTTCCTCTGGCCCGCGAGTGGGCTGGTATCATAAATTTCCTCGGGGCCGCTGGGAGGGAGTCGATGGTGGAAAGGGGGTCGAAGTCACTTCACCGACTGACTGGAGTTCTCTGTGTGAAGTCGCTGATGTGCTGGTCCTAGCATCGATGGAAACGACGAGTGAATATGATTTATTTTGGTAGTTTCGCACTGACCGCATCCGCGCGGTATGTTGTGTCGCCCTTATGATGTCTTATGCGGTCGTCGTCAACTCATCTCAAGATTTTAAATGATTTTTGGGACGCATCCCCTGATTTTTCATCATTTGCATCCCTAAAGATTTTTCAATAACAAAGAAAGGAAGACAGGCGTCAGGCGCTATTTCGTCAGGACATATCTGTATCATTCCACGCACAAAATTAAACTTTTGAGTCCTATCACTCACAGACCTCTACAGTAACAACGTAAAAAAAAAAAAATTCTCCAACGATATGAAAACACGAACGTGCCACGATCGAAAAAAATAAAACGGAATTAAGCATAAGAACACAAAAGAGACTCACGACTCTCGCCGCCATCTCGAGAGACTGCTGGATGTCCCTCATCCGATCCTGGGGGAGGGATTCCTCCACCCCCTTGCGGTAGGCCGTCTCCATCCACTGGATGGCCGTGTCGTAGAATCCCTTGTTGAAGGCGTGGCGTCCCAGGAACTCGCAGTCCCGGGCGCTCAGCTGCCCCGCGCTTCGGAAACCTGAACGCCCGGATCAAAAGCATGAGAAGCGTTTTTATTATCATCGGGGGAGTACATGAGACGTTATCGTTGCTCGCTCGGCTCTAAGGAGAATTAAGGCCGAAATAAGATAACGATAATAAATCAAAGAGGACCCCGATCGGCGTCACAATATGCAATGCATGAGCCGAGAATGAATGAAGAACACAAATAAGATGCAAACGAAGGAATAATATATACTGGCTCGGTGAAGAAAGGATGGCTAAGTGAAAAATGAGTCCCGACACCGTCGGAATACTTACCCGAGGAATAAATTACCGATCGCCTCGGCAGACAACGGAATCGGTTGCTCGACAGCAAATAGCTGGCGAAACAGTCAAGTATCAATAGTACCAAGAACTGACCTTGAGGATGGAGTCGGTGCCGCTCCCCGAATCCCCGGAAGAACCCGTCGGGGAACTCCGTCATGTTAAGCTTGTAGATGTCCTGGAGTTGCACGAGCGAGATGGCCGCTCCTTGCAGGTCGTCCACGACCGGGAAAAACCCGGTTTCCCGGAATTGGACCGACCAGGCATGGATCACTGCAATGCAAACGAGAATTTACACATCGGTTCTGGGTTCCCTCGGTAAATGAGGCTCTTTTGTCTCTGTGGAAATCAGCGTTCTGTGGCAGACTTCCAACGAAAATTAAAAAACTGCTTGGCTGAAGGCCAAAGAAAAATAATGAAATATGAGATCATCACGGTAACAAAAAAAAATCGGAACCTAAAATAGCCAAGTAAACGAACCCTTCCACGTTGAATGAAGCAAAACCAACCCCGACCGCGCGTTTTGAGAGGCATATCCCAAAGCGAGCATAGAGAAAGTGAGTGATTTATAATCAGGAAGGCTGCCACCACCTCCGGATTGACATCTCAGTCACGAAGCACATGGTCCCCCCCCTCCCTCCCTTCCCCTGCCCCCTCCGACGGAGTGCTAAATGGACGATTTGTTTGCTTGACCTCCTTCTCCCCTCGATTGCTTATACCGAGCTTCTCGACGGTGTTTTCGGCTCCGAGACCAGATCTGCATATGAGGTCACCCAGCTGTCCAAGGCCACAGCCCAGCATTCATCAAACACCCCTACCATTTTCTCCCTCCCCTCCCTCCCCCCCGACAGACCTTTGGAGTGGTTGAGCTCTTTGACGAGCGCATCCTCGACGGCCGTCCAGTCGATCGTGGACCGCTTGACCAGGAGGAAGGCATCGATCGGGTTCGCCACCAGCTCCGAGTACGTCCGCTGGGCCACCGCCTCGCGGAATCCCCTCACGTAACTGAAGAGTAAATAACGAACCGTGACTTTGGTGGGACGACTGAAAGTAGGGGTAGCGTTTCATCATATACATATTTATTTTATTTATTTAGAGATATTGGTATCATAATTAGACGTTATAACTTTTGAGACAGGTGTTAATCGTCGGCACTTCCTGGGTCGATGTTTTCCGCATCGGCTTTTTGTTCAAACATGAAAACTCCACGCTCGAACGTGTGATAACATTTTTAACACTTCCGAGAGTACTAAAAGTCTGCATAAGGTAAATAACGAAGCGAGATCCCTCGAGGCGATCTTCTCGAGAACCGATACATCAAGTCCCGGAGCGTACCTTCGCACTTACCAGTAAGTACCCGTGAGCACCTGTCGGAACGGCACCGGCTCCAGTCCCGCGCGAAAGGCGTGTCACAACCCGGGACTTTCATCTTCCGGCATTCACGCAGCATGACGATGCAGTATCACAAACACTCTTAATTTCCCATCCGCCCCTCTTCCGCCGGTCTTTCACTCGAGACCTGCGAGGGACAGGTGTCACGCATCAGATGCATCAGATGCATCATCTGCATCAGGCGAAGATGCATCGGGCGGCATCCGTTAGAGACGGGTCGGGACCCTCGTCGTGCATGAGATCGTGTGCGTGTAATACGAGGGAATCGCTTCACGGTTCCACGCGGAGGGGAAACGGAATTACACACGCGTGTCTCGGACACGTGAATAATTACGTCGAGGCACGATGAGGAAGTGAAGATGAGAGTGAAGGCGATGAGAAGCAGATGGGATACGGTACGAGATCGTTCGGAATTACGAGAGGCTGGGGAAACGCGGCAACTGTCGCGGGGAACGACGCAACAGTCGCGATACGTTCATCATTTCGCTTCCCCGTCTGGAACGGCCGTTTCTAAGCCGCTAATTTACAGGTCTGAAGCAAGTGCGATGAGTTACTGGCCGACATTCGATTCGGTCCGGGTGTGCCGGAAATAAATACATAAAAACGTACCAAAAATATGCCAATAAGTTAAAATTCGTGGAAAAAATAATAACAAAGAAATAATAAATAATACTCACTCCCTGACGATGTCGAGTCGCTGCTGCGCATATAGCAGGTAAGTGTCCAGGTTCTCGACGAGGACCTGCTCGTTCGCGAGGAGGGTCTCGAGCTTCACCGTCGCCGAGAACAGGTCCTCGCGGTTCGCGTCAGAGGTGAGAGCGCTCGCGCTCACGCTCACGCTCACCAGCACGCTCACGCTCACCAGCACCGCCCATCGGCCCACCATCATCACCTCATTGGACCTGCGTGGGGGGAAGGATTAAGTCGGTTGCTTCTGGGGTCGGGGTCGATTCCGCGGGCGTTTAAATTTGGCCGAGATTCTGAGTGGGTGTGGAGGGAATTAAAATAGGTTTAAACATGTTTCAAGGTTTAGAGCGGGGATGAGCGCAGTGAAGCCAAAATGAGGAATGAATGCGAACGCTTCGAGACCCGGGTCATATGCACAGCATGTCTCTGCTTTAAAATAATTCCTTTTAATTCATAAAATAATTTAAAATAAATTAAAGAATTCCTGCCACTTCTGAGACCAAAACTTTCTTAACCCTTTCAGGACCAAGGGACGTATTTGTCCCATATTTTCAAAATCCTCCCAAATTTGAATGAATTAGTCTAGGGCTTTCACCCTAAACACGTCATTAAAGTTAAGGTCGCTGTCCCACAATGCTTATGGTCCTGAAAGGGTTAACGCCCGCTACTGGTAATCACTTTTCTTTTTTTAAAGTCTACGAACTCCAGAAGAAAAAGACTTGAGCGGATTCAAGTTTATCGGACTTTCGGAGACGAGGAGATATCGCGGATCCGCCGACTCACCCGCTCGAAAAAGAAATCCCCTAAGCGCCGAATCGCCATTTCACCCTCGAAGACGGAGACTCGAGGAAGACGCAATTTGTCGCCAGCGCGTCAGACACGACGGATGGCGATGGCGCGGCGCCAAGAGAAGCATCGTTTGTCTTTCACTTCGGTCACGTTGAGGGTCGATTAAATGTTTCGGTCCTACGATGCGTTTTCATCGTGGATTCGATCGTGGGATCTGCATATCGACCCACTTTTCGTTCCATCGTTCCTCTATCGCGCTCGGCGACCATCGGGCTTCCTGGAATTCCCCAAGGACGCCAAGGAAACGATCCGGAGATGCGCCGGTCGAGATGATCGTCTTGGCGCTTCTACCGAGCGCCTTGCCGAGAGATTCGAGGCAGGGCAGGGAGAGACGCGCTCGAGCAGCCTGCCGTCCACTCGCACGAGTGGGATTCTTACATGCGACGACACCTCTACGTCTCCGCTCGGTCCCTCTCGCCCGCAACGCAGATGGTGCGTGCCCTCGCCTGCTCCGTCCGCGTCGACCTCGTTTCCGCCGCTCGTCAGAACGGGAACGCAGAAGTTCGTTGCACCAGCGTTTTGCAGCTGTGTGTGTTTCGCTGCTGGCGTTTGCAGTTGCATGTACGGTACACTGCGATCGGGAGTGTTTCCCCGTCATTTGCACAAGCCAGGAATTTCCCTTCACGGCGAACTGCGAGGGAGGAACCGTGCACTTCGGTTCGTGCTCGGCGGAATCTACACGAATGCGGGAAGATGGATCTCGATTCGGAGACCGCATGCGGTCGCGCGTTGAGCAATCCCTGCATCGTCCCGAAGGAAAAAAGATAAATCCAGGTCGAAAGAGAACCGCAAGGACCGATGACCTCGATCCTGAGATTTTCGATTGCATAAAAATCCGTGGGAGAGAGTCCGGCGGTAAAGGTCATCTGATCGCAGGGTTGCCGATGCAGTACCGTGAAAGAGTCGCCGTCGGGGTCGGCGACTCGTCGCGATATCGAGTGGGAACATCAAAAATCGGGTGCGACATCCTTTCACTCGTCTGGAGTGAAGGCACGAAGCGAACACACCCTTGGCCGGCACGGAGCCTCTCAAATTTCGCCGTTCGCAATAATTACAGTGCATTCGGTGGGCGCATCCGCCCCCGAAAAAGGACAATAAAGGACATATTGCAGACGCTCGAGACGGCGCCCGAGGACCTAGGAGGCACCGAGATAATCCAACGCGATGACTCACCGGCTAATCCGGTGATCATCAGCAAGCAACCCCACGCTTCTTCCTTCATCCAATCGCGGAATCCCAACTATTCATCCTTGTATGCAAATATCATCAAACCGGCAATTTCCAGTCACGATCGGAAAAAAATTTTCCAGGAATTTAATCGTCCGCAGATTACGAAACGACCGATGCCGACTCGAAACCGGCGCGGACTTTCTCCTTACGGCGCCGGACGCCCTTCGGATGCGCCGTCGGATGCGCCGGCGTGGCGCAACCGCTCGTCCCCGCCCTCAAGGCTCGAGCAAACCGCTTAATATATCTCTGACACACAACTTATCCTTAAGTCATTTTTTTCTTTTACTCGGGCGAAAGTGAACTGCGGGGCGGAATGTGTAACAGGGGTGGGAGTGAGAATTACTTCCTGGATTCCGGCAATTCATCACGTTCTCGCCCATTATGCGCTTTCAGCACGAACTCTTCTCTGAATTTGCACTTCTTCCCCACGACTTCTTCCTGCGATGAATGCCGGGCCAAGTGGACGATCACGCATTAAAAAAGAACTGCAATGCTTGAAATTGGTTGAAACACGGTGCCAAATTGCATCACAACGTAATTGCCAATTCCTTGCAAAATCGAAATTCGCAATTACATTTTTTCTAGGATATTCGAGTTAGTACATGTCACAAACCGCCAGGGGCGGATACAGAAATTTTTCATAGGGGGGGGGCGGTTCCCAGTTCCTACCTACCCCCCTCCCCTCTTCCCCCCCCTGCTACAACCATTCCCCTTCCTTTCGCCATTTTTATTTTTCGTCTGGGGTAAGAACTTGAGTGTCTATTTCAATGGCTCCGATAAAATTTAATGCAGATGCTATTTTGAATAAATAAATCAAGTGCTAACTTGGCCATAGGGGGGAACGGTCGCTCCCCCCCCCCCCTTATCCGTCACTGCAAACGGCACAGGGCATAAAGCCGGCTCGAGAAAGCACAGGTTTACGCCCCGTAATTATCCCATCATCCAGATATTCATCTCATCGTTCATCCAGATTTACTTCATCTCCTCATCGCCACGCTTCATCACCTGAGACACTTTCGTTGTCGAAATCGGAATCCGCCTCGCCCGACTTCCCGCCGACGAGCGCAAAGGGCGCAAAAGGGGCAAAGGATGCGAAGGGCGCAAAGGATGCTAAGGGCGCAAAAACACGGCGAACGCCATCCTATTGTTCCCGACTGGAAAGTCGGGCGGGGGCCGGGTTCATGACGAAAAATTCACGAGGAAGAATTCATGAAGAAGCTCATGAGGAATTATAGATTCCGAAAGGCGTTGGAGGACCTTGTGCAAGCACGAACGCCACCATTATATGCAGATCCCGCGTCCGGTGAAATTTCCAGGGAATTCTCCCTTGGCCCTATTCCCCTGCGACAATCGAGTCCCTCGGCATTCTTCGTTTCACTTTCGATGAAACGAAAACGACCGATTTCGGACGCGACGAACGCGGGAGTTCCGTCCCGCTTTTCGGCGAAAGTCGGCCGGTTCACTTCGCCGTTAGGATCGCGATATCGACCTCGAGCGCCTTTTCCCCGCAAGGGGGAGAGCGTCCTCGTCACGCCGCATGACCTTCCGCTTGCGAAACGGCATCCTCTTTCGCCCTCTTGTTTCACCCAGCCTCCTCTTGTTTCGCCCTGCCGCCTCCACTCGCGGAGGTCGAAGAAAGCATCCGCATCATCATCCTCCTTATGAAAGAAATGAGGGGAATAAAAGTGAATGCTGGCTAATTCCGCCTCTGGCACGTGGCAGCTATTCGTGAGCGAAGTCGCCACTCGTGAGCGAAGTCGCCAACTGCGAGCAGGATTACTGCTCGTGAACATTGACACACGTGAGAGGAGTTCTGATTTGGGACTCTTCTTCCGGAGTTTCGTTGTTGGCCCCCGGGGGCAGAGGGTTCCCTCCCAAAGAAGGCTCCCTCGCGTGGAATATGATGAATGAATCCTCGCGTTCCGTGCTTTCTTTTCTTTCTGGGCGCGAGAGAGGGAAGACGCGTCGGACAATAGGGTTCTCCGCGGGCCTGCGACCCATGCCCTCGACGGCGGGGAAAGTCGTACAGGATGCTGCCCATTACGTGTCAGAACGAAAGCACGCTCTTCATTATTTTTTTGATGGTTTTTCCCTCGAAGGGGATGGGAAGAGGAGGGGGGGGGGGAGATGCTCTGATCGTAACATCTGGGTGTTTTCGAGGCATAAATCTCGATCAGGCGGGCGACGTGGCTTCGTATTTGTTTTGCCGGCGCTGCAGGCACCGATCGAGTGCTTCGATTAACGGCGTCGAATCTCCGTCGATCGTGATGGTAAATTCAGCCTACGACATATGTTGGTCATTTTCCCTGATGCGGGATGCAAGGATCCTCCCTGTAATAGCAGTGTCACGACGGCGTATAGTGCCCTCGGGGGCGAGATCCCATTCCATCAGGGTCCTTGAGAACACAATCGGCCTCAAGGAACGTAATCGGGGAATCGCGGAACGTAATGGGGCATCGAGGAATGTAATGGGGCATAGCGAAACGTAATGTGGCATCGAGGAACGCGATTCCTCTCGTACCGGTAGGCACAAAGTCACCACAGCGTTCAACGAAGTAACGATTAGTTAATCACGGAGCATGCCGCTGAAATACATCACCCTCCTACGAGAGAGACCGAAAAACTAGGACTCACCCTCGACGACGACCAAAAAAGGCAAAGCGAGAGCAGAGAGAGCGAGAGCAGAGAGCAGCAGCGTGGACTCGCTCCGCACGGCGACTGTGGATGCCTCGCCCCGGCCTCTGCCCTCATGGATGAGGCAGCGCGGGCAGCGCCTCTCCCGCCTCTTCGAGGGACCGCTCAAGGCCTCGTCGAGTGCCTTTCCCAAGGGGGGAAGAGGGGTTCGTCGTGTCCTATGAATATATGGATTTTTTTTTTACGCGTCTGGGAACTTGGATATCGGTCGTGAGGGTTTCGTCTAGAGTGAAGACGGAGAAATCGTCTAAAAATAGACAGAAATAACCAAATAATAGCAAATAATAGCTAAAAAATAGCCCAAGTGAAAGCCGAGGCACGACGGAGTCCCAACACCTCTTCGTGTCGTTTTTATCATTAAGATATTAATGACCGTGCTTCTCGTGCTCTTTCTTCTGCTTCATGCAGAAATGCCTTCGTTATCAGCGCTATTCAATCCCTACCACTTTCCTTCAGAGAAGAGCTAATGAAAAAGAAAGCGACTCGGAACGTGTTTCCCCCGAGGTATTTTGGCACGTGACTCGATCGTGCCGAAAGCCCAACCGCGTTTTTTCGGCTCATTTCCGGCGAGAATCCAGGAATGCCGGTCTCGCTTCGAGTTTTGGGACGAACCCGACAGAAAAGGAAAGGCTGATGCCATCGAGTTACGAGACGAGAATGAGAGCGGAAAATACAGGAGAAAGTTTATATCAAAAATACTAAAAATGTTCGAGTTCGAGATCGCGACTCGTCGACACGGAAAAGCGACCGGGAATCGAGCTCATCGGGTCGACCCGAGGAGGAATAAATTTGCATCCGGATATTTATTTCCTAATGAGGACGCGACTTTCTCCTCGGATCGTGACTTTGAGAATCCCCTCGGAATGAAATCCTCTTTTCCTTCGCGCTGATTGACTCCTGTTTGATATGGAAATCCCGCAATTAAAACTCACAGGGCGATGCCGGCACAAATCTCCTTTCGTAATTGTGAAGAGACGAGAAACAGTTGGAGGAGCGTTACGCCACCGCGCCACGGGGCGACTCCATTAACTGGTTGGGCATATTCGACTTCGCTGGAAGTCCGAATGTACCCACGAGCTAATGGAGCTAATGATAAATATCTGGCATATTCGACGGAAAGTGTGTCACTTGCAGCGATGACTTGAATTTCCAGACTCGCCGTGGGAGGAATAACACGAAGCAGCTCGTTTTTCTTTGTTTCTTTGTTTAAAATAAAAAAAGAATAGTAAAAAAAGAGCGATGATATAAGCGGCGTGGGTACTTTCCATAGATGGTGTGGAGGGCATTCGCTTTCGTCCTTCCCTCAAGCCTTTGCCTTTTCTGGGTCTCGGTTATCTCGATCGGGTGGGTCCATCTGCTTTCCTTCTCGTTCCGCATCGAATTTCCTTTCGAGATCGCGGAGTGTGGCGGCAGGGTTGCCGGAGCACCAGTGTCTCGGAAACAGATGCGAGCAAGAATTTTTTTATTTGGATCGTCCACGGGTGATGACGTGGGATTTCGTTCATTTCTGGAGGCAAAAACGGCAATTTTCGTTTCTTTCGTGTTTGCGCGGGACCCCGGAAGAAAAGTGTCTGGCTTCGAGGACCTGCAGAAGTCGCATGTTTGTACAGGTTATCGTCAGAGGTCAGCGAGAAAGTGAGAATGTGGAGACACAGAAGCACCTTTGTACCTCCTTTATGCCTCCTTTAAGCCATCTTCAAGCCACCTTTCTCTTCTTTCTATCACGCGCCATCCCCACATTTCGACGAGAAGCAAGCGAGTTCGGAACGAATATATATATATTTATTTATTGAA